ACCACCCCAGACTGAAACTCAAGGATGGTACAGACACCCAGGGATGCCACCACTAATGCCATTCCCACACCACAGTGGCCTCACTGGGACCCATGGGCAGCATACCAACAACACTATATGAAGCCTCCCAGTTCATACAGAGAGAGGGTGAGACATTCCCCATCACCCTCTGTACCTGGACCCGCTGAACCTTCAGAAGAGGCAGTTGAAGAACTGGAGGAGAGTTTGGACCAAGACTTCACCCCAGCAACCAATTTTTCATCCTCCTCTCCAGATGATGCCATTATGCCTCCACCACCCACAATGGGGGACAACTTGAAACAGTTCCAGGAACTGTTTAAGAGGATTGAGGTATCATTAGAGATTCTGTTGGAGGAAGTTGTGGACATCCTCCAGACTTCAACTTCTTCCAAGACTTCCCTACCAATAAACAAGGCTCTCATGGACCCAGCCTAGACAGGGGCAACAATTCCACCAACCTATAAAAGGGCGGATAAAACATATTACGTTCCTTCCAAGGGAATGGAATTTTGTTCTCACATCCCACACCAAACACTCTGGTGGTAGTGGTGTGAATGAAAGGGGCAGACAACATCACTTGAGAACCATCCCATATCATAGGGACTGTAAGCAGTTAAACTTTTTTGGATGTAAAGCCTGCTCGTCAGCAACCCTACAATTTAGGATTGCCAATTATGAGGCATTGGTGGCCAAACAAAACTACACAAATTATTCAAAAATGTCTGAAATTTATTCATTTGCTACTTGAGGACAACAAAGAGCAATTCAAAGCAACCACCTCGGAAGGCCACCTTCTTGCTCGAACAGCCTTACAAGCCGCACTGGACTCAGAAGACACGGCAGCACATTCCATCGCAATGACCATAGTCATGTGATGAGCTTCCTGACACCACCTCTCTGGGTTCCCCAAAGAGATACAATATACCACCGAGGATCTTTCATTGGAGGGCTCAAAGCTGTTCTCAGCCAAGACAGATGACTCGTTCCACAAATTAAAGGACTCCAGGGCAACCTTCAGATCCTTGGGCATTTACACACCTACTCAAAAGAAAAAACGGGAAGTATTACTTAGTGCAAAGAGCAAGATTCGTGCCCTACACCCAACTTCAGAGGCAATATGACCTGCAAAGGTGGAGGCAGAGACCTACTAGATGGAGACTACTCCCTTCTCAGCCTTCGACATCCCAACAACCTCCCTCCTAAACAACAGTTTTGAGGGTTTGGTCGAGGACCTCCCATATCTTCTGCGCTGGAACCATCTGACACCATTCACCCATTCAGAGACCATCTGACTCTATTCCACCCAGTGTAGCAAAACATCACGTCAGACAAATGGCTGCTAGAGATTAAGACTGGTTATTACATTCAATTTACCTCTATCCCCCATCCACCCTCCTTCCCCATCCCTCTTCAGGGACGCTTCTCACAAACATCTACTACAACAGGAGGTAAACGTCTCATATGCCTGGGGAATGTGGAACCAGTACCGGCACAACACAGAGGGAAGAGTTTCTGTTCCCATTACTTTCTAACCCAGAAAATAACCAGAGGATGGAGGCCCATTCTTAACTTAAGAAGACTCATCAAATTAGTGAAGACCCAGCGATTCAGGATGGTCATGCTAGCAGTGATAATTCCAGCACTAGAAACAGGACTAGTTCTCAGCTCTCGACCTCCAGGATGCACATTTCCACATAACGATGCATCCCTCACATAGGAGGTTTTGGTAGATTTGTTCTGGGCAAAGATCACTACCAATACAAAGTACTTCCTTCCGGCTTGTCTATGGCTTCATGGGTACTGAAAGTCCTCACAGTGGTGGCGGCTCACCTCTGCAGACAATGGATCATAATATTCCCCTATTTGGATGACTGCTTTCTCAAAGCCTCGACTCAAGAAGAGAGCCGAGAAGCTACCCAAAGCACAGCAGCTCTCTTTCACACAGCTGGATCTACAGATAAACCAATAAAAATCAACATTCACACCTGTGCAGAGATTGGAATTCATCAGGGCTACCTCCACTCTCTGGAAGCTATAGCCTGTCTGCCCCAGCACAGATTTACCACTAGTCAACCTAATTGCTATAATGCAAGCTATCACACAGACATTGGCCAGGACCTGCCTCCGACTATGAGGCCATATGTCAGCAAACACATTTGTTGTCAAGCATGCCAGACTACACGTGATGCCTGCCAGGCTGTCTCAGGACAGTATATATTCCACACACAAACACGCGTCTTACAATGCCAAGCAAAGTGAAAAACTGTCTACATTGGGGGACTCAACCACACAATATCTGTACAGGAGTTCCCTTCTCACCCCCTTCGTCCCCCGCACACATCAGTGATACTTATAACAGATGCCTCTCTGCTAAGTTGCGGGGCACACCTGTGCAACCATACGATTAAAGGGCATTGGTCCCCATTGGAAGCAACATTACACATAAATCTACTTGCGCTTCGGGCAGTCTGCAATGCATGCTCATGCTTTCTACCCATGATCAGAGACAAAGCCATAAAGATGCTGATGGATAGCATCGCTTGTATGTTTTCTATAAAGTGCCAAGGAGGGGCACGGTCACACTTCCTATGCACAGAAGTTATGCAATGTATTGGTGCATCTGCCACAACGTCGACATCTCAGCCACCTACCTACCAGAATGCCAAAACACCATAGCAGATGCACTGAGCAGAACCTTTTCACAAGACCATGAGAGGGAAATGAACACTGCTGAACATATTCAGATGCTGGGGGTTCCCAACTATAGACCTCTTTGCAACAACCCACAACACGAAGTGCCCATACTTCTGCTCCAGAGCAGGACTGGGACCTGTTCTCTTGGCAATGCCTGTTGCTGCAAATGCAAATACACATCTACTGTATGCTTTTCCTCTGATCCCTCTCCTAGCCAGGATCATAAATACAGTAAGGACTGACAACTCCTGAGTCCTCTTGATAGCTCCCACATAGTCCAGATAAATAAATGTAGTTTTCCTTACTGCTTAAAGATTGTTTCGTGCCCACCATGCACTCCACTTCATCTCCTGTCTCAGGGTGCAGGCTGGTCTACGACCTGAACCTAGCAAGACTCCACCTGAAGGCATGGCTACCCCATGGTTCCAAGACAGTGAAATGACCTTTTTAGAGGGGTAAGGAACTTTCTTTTAAACAGCAGAAGGTCTACTACATAATATACCTACCTTCACAAATAGAAAAGATTTCATACATTGTGCCAGAATAGCAAACAATGGCAACCACTTTTCCTCTACCAATGGTATTGGATTACATACTGGAACTCAAGAAATCAGCTCTTTCAATGAACTGGATCAGAGTATACCTTGTGGCAATCACGGCATTCCACCATCAAGTGGACGAGTTCTAATCTTTGCTCACCCTACCACCAAAGGTTTCCTCAACAGTCTCTGCCACCTCTACCCTAAAATGTGATCCCCCATTCCATCATGGGACCTCAGTCTGGTGCTGTGGTGCATTATGGGGCCCCCTTTTGAATGACTGGTGACAGGCTCACTTCTCAATGCCTTCCTTGTCATTATCACATCCACCCGAAGAGTGGGAGAACTGGGACCTTCATGGTACACCCCCCATACACAATATTTTTCACAAATTTACCCTATGACCACACCCCAAGTTTCTACCTAAAATAGTTTAGTCATTCCATTTGAATCAACCCATCCATATCCCATCATTCTTCCCAAAACCTCATGGGAACAAACAAGAAGCAATGCTTCATACCCTGGACGTCCAAAGGACGCTAGCATTTTACATTGAAAGGACAGAGTCTTTTAGAAAGTCACCAAAGTTATTTCTTTCCATCATGGAACAATCTAAGGGAGACACCATATCCAAAGGCTGTCAAAATGGATCTCCACCTGCATTGGCTTTTGCTATCGCTAACAACAGATACAAACTCTGTGGAAGAACCACACACACTCCACCAGAGCTTTGTCTACATTGATAGCCTTCTTCAATAATGTGTCCATTGTGGACATCTGCAGAGTAGCAACTTGCGCCTCTGCCCATACATTCACACAGCACTATGTCATATAGCTGGACTCGACATCAGACGCTATACTGGGACTTTTATCATCTGCCCAGACTGCAACTCTGAAGCCCCTCCCTTCCAGAGAGGGGCACTGCTCTACAGTCATTTAAAGTGGAGCACCCACATGGACACTCCTCGAAAGAGAGAAGGTTACTCACACTGTGCAGTAACTGAGGTTCTTTGAGATGGTTGTCCCTGTGGGTGCTCCACTGCCCACCTTTCTCCCCTCTACTTTGGAGTTTTTATGTTAGAAACTGTGATTGAGAAGGGGGGGTTGGTCACACAATTCTGTGTAACTCCCGGAGGTGGCACGAGATGGGGACAGCACATGTGTGACCCAACCAGGTGTTGCTACTAAAAATATCTGATTACAAGTGCGAGGGCGCAGATTCACCTAAAGTGGAGCACCGTCGTGGACACCCATCTCAAAGAACCTCAGTTACTGCACAGGGTGAATAAACTTCTTTTTGTTTTGCTTAATGAAAATGTGTGTGTGTGTGTGTGTGTGTATGCACATATTGCTGTTTAAAGATGTGTAGCACAGTCAGTGTTAGTACGTGCTTTTCATCTCTTCAAATACATGTACCTTATCCCTGTTTAGAAGAACCACTTGTAGTAGTGAGTAGGTTGTGCAGGAATCCTTGAGATATGGGCTTCTGCTGAGATTGCTGCTGCCTCAAACTACTGATCCAGAATTGAGAGGTTCCATATACGGTTATATAGCCTTTGAAAGATCCAGTCCCTCCTTTCCCCATTTTATAAGTAGTTATAACAGTAGTAAAGAATTACAATATATTTTGATGTCCTGCCTTCAAAGATTTCTTTTGAAATAAACAAAGTAGAAATAAATTGCAGTAAAAGCTGCATAAGACATATAAATGTGAATTTTATAACTTTGTTTCCCCCCTCATTGTAGTTTTTATCCTCCAGTTGATGAGCCTGCTATTGGCCCTGAAAAATTGGATCTGTCTATGCGTCATGAAAGAAAAATGATCTTCAGAGGCAAAACCTTTCTGTTCCTAAGTGCTAAACAGGTAACTGGTCTCTAGGTTGCAAAGATGTACAAGAAGACAATATTGATCAAAGTATTTAAAAGATACTTTGAAACAGAAAATGTATGAAATTAGTTTTGTTTGTAATAATGCACCAGTTAGAACTGAAATGTAACACCTTGTATGTTGATAGTGTATTTAAACTCCACTCATTCAGAAGGTATGTAATAGGGAGTGAAACTTTTGTGGGGGCCTGCCACAGATGTTCAAGCATCTGTGAAACCTGATCTTGATTTTGAGACGTTGTCCTACCCCATCAACAGAAATTGGACCTCAGCCTTTCAATCTGTGTATTTTACTCACTTTCATTTAAAACATCGAGTCATCTCCCTTACCTACGGAAACTATCCACGAATGTCTGATTCCAACTGTCATGCTCTGAAAGTCCACAGACCTCTGAGATTAGAAAAGCAATTGTGCTCGCCAGTTTTATATCAAGTTGATCTGCTGTGGAGTATCCTAAAACTATAGCACCTTTACCCATATGAACTACTGGACAGTCTCTGTTTAAAGAGAGGGATCTCTGCTTGCAGAAGCCTGGATAAAAAGCTGCATTTTGTAACCGTTTTAGTTGAATACATACACAGCTGAAATCTGTACTTGAAGAGTAGGATTAACCTATTCCATTTAGGTTGGTCACTAAAAATGCCTTCTGTTGGGTGTGAAAAACTAATTTTTTGGTTTTGTATCGCAAACCTGGGTGAGTGAGTTTAAAGGCTAATATCTTAATTGCTCCCAGATGTTGCCTACCTGTGCTATTGTAGATATGTGCCTCTTACTTTTTTAAACAAATGAGAAATATAAATGTTCATGGCACTTTACAGACATAAGACCCTACCTTTTACCTCAGGATCTTAGTCAGAGACCCTAGTCCTGCAAAGGAATCTGCAAGTGTAAATCATTACCCCATGTGGATTCTCACTGAAATAACTGAATTCTGCACAGGAAAGAAAAGTCTGCATTTGCAGATCTCTTCACAGGATCAGGGCCCAGTTTGAGACAAGGTATAATGAGAGAAATACTGATGAACACATGATGGCAGCTGGCGGGGAGGTGCGCAGGAATCAGAAAACTTGCAATGGTCTCTTTTGATATTGTCTCTACGATGCCAAACATACTTAATAGAGATTTGAATAATCACTTGCACTAGTAGCATAAGCTCGTGTACGTAAGCACATTACTCCTGGGGGAATTCTGTGCCACTGCCCAGGGCAGAATTTTGCAGAAATTAACGTGCGCACAGAATTTCCTTTCCCCCGCAAAAATGGGCTGCAGTTTTGCTGGCCGCCATTAGGGGCTGCTGGACCCAGCAGAGCCCAACTCGCACACAGAAGACACTGCCGGAGGGGAGGGGGAGAAAGTTAGAGGGTTCCTGGCAGCTGCAGTTCCCAGCATGCCCTGAGGGAAGGAGATGGGGTGTGCAGGAAACTCCATGCGAGCCTGGGACCAAGCATCAGGCTGTTTCTCCCTCTGGATCCCTGGCCGGGAGGAGGCCGCTGTCTCGCCTGGGAGGGCCACAGCTGGGCTCGGGGTGTCTGGAGGGGTTTGGGTGTATTGGCTGGAGGAGGCACTGTGGCTGAGCTTGCGGGGGAGAGGTTGTGGGTGTCTGGGATCCCGACTAGGCTCGGGGATGTGGTGGAGGGGCAGAGAAACAGGAATTGTGTTGTCATAGGGGTTTCCTTAACTCTCTAGTCCTGGGGGAATTTTTGTGTGTGTCTGTATTGTTACAGTCATACTTGCTGACAGGTATTTTTAAATAAATTACCAAAATAATATAAACTGGTGTGATTATGTAAAGTTATTTTGACAAATACAATCTACAGAATTTTCCAAAATTTTAAAATGTGGGCGGACTTTTAAATTTTTTGGTGCAGAATACCCCCAGGAGTAGCACATGTGCATTTTACTTAAAGCTGGCTGAAACTCAGGATTTCCAATTTGCGAGAAATTGCAAATTTTGAAATTTGGTTTTGTTCTCTCACTAACAGAAGATCCAGAAGAAAATTCATTTTGGGAACACTGTCACATGGTATGTTCCCTGGGGCCTGGCAGCTGCTGACTGAAAGGAACGTTCTTGACAGTTGCAACACCCGCTGTTGGGTACTATTCACTAGCAGTGGTGAAACTGACATGAGTGTCTATTTCAGTCAATAGCTGCCAGGTCTCCCAGACTATGTCTACAAGGGGGATTAAAAGGGGATTAAAAAACTTGCAGCTGACCTGGGTCAGCTGACTTGGGCTTGGGCTCCGGGGCTAAAAAATCGCTGTGTAGATGTTGGCAGTCCAAACCCAGATGTCTGCACATCAATTTTTAGCCCCATGAGCCTGAGTCAGATGACCTGGGCAGCTTCAGCTGTGCCATGGGTCTCTTATCTCTGTGTAGACGTACCCTCAGGGTCTGCAGCTCCAGGGCAGACAGACCATGCCCACTGCCTCGGGACTGGGTACCCCAGTGCTTCAGGGTTCCCAGGGCTGATGGTTTGTCAATCTGAACCATTTTCTCGAAACAATTTGGGTTTGACGAACAGGCATTTTCCAACAAAATTCTTCATCAGAAAATTTCCAACTGGGTCTAGATTTACTCAAATTAATATAGTTCTGATTCTAGAATAGATTCTGATATATTCAATATTACTGTTGTTTCAGTAAAAAAGAAAACTAATGGATCTGACTAAATTTAATCTGTTCATTAAATTGCATTTTCTTTCTTGATTTTTAGCATAAGAAACTGAGTCCAGCAATTATTCTTGGAGGGGGAGAAGCAAAAGTGTTGCAAGAAAGAAGAAAAGAAACTGCTTTACTGGTAGCTCCTGAAGTCTGTGTCATTGATGCAGAATTAACTAACTCGCAGGTCCCAGTATCTGACTCAGTGAGAAATTGGATTAATTCCATTATGACTGTGTTACAAAGGTGAAATATATTCTTTTACTTCAATAGATATTTCAGAATTTTAGTATAGTAATTTGGGTTAATTCTTTGTGTACGGATTAAAGATGGGATTTTTTTTTGGAGAGTGTGTTTATTTATATTGCTCAAGAGTCTTACAATAATTTGATGAAATATTGACTAAAACTTTTTGGGGAGGAAAGGATTGTGGTCTTCATAGAGAATTTTGTGTAAGAACATCCAAATGTACCACAGTTAATTGGACTTTGTTCAGTTAAAATGTCTGTTTACTTTTTCCCTTGACCAACTATTTTCTGTCTACAATATAAAAAGGAAAGTCAAGTCCTTTTTTCGTTCTGCCATTTTAAAAAAAAAAGCTATGAATAAAAGGATTGTGAAAAATAGAAGAGAGAATCTATTGGTTAAAGAAACACAAGTGCATTTCTCAACAGATGAATAGGAACTACTTTCCAAATAAACTCTTACCGAATACAAATAAGATCCCAGGAGCAGAGGCTGTGTCATATGTTTTATAGAGGATAACATTGGTAATAATTATGATAAAAAAAACTTTAACTGAACCTAATAGGTTAATAGTATTTAGGCCCACAGATCACCCACGTAGGAAAGAAAACTAGAGAACCTGTCTTGTTTCACGGGAGGCTGTGTGCATGGAAGAGAGGTGCCTCCATAGAAGTCACATCTTGTCAGAAGCACTTGTCTTTCATATTATTTTTCTACTCTCCTCCTGCCCAGTGAATTAGAGGACACTTTATGGGGAAGCACATTAGTTTGACGAAGTGTCCAAATCTGAACTGATTGAGGTAAGGAAGGGAAAGGCGCACTGTCAAGATTACTAGGACTAAAAATGGACCTGCAGTGGCAGTGGGACATTGAAGTTCTCACCTACAAGGCTCATACATTAACATTCTTTCCCTTAAGCCTGCTGTTGGTGCATGAAGCATTTTGTATTGTATGATGGGATTTCTGCCATTTGCCACTCCATCTTTGAACATGTTTTGAGAAGCACATGTTTGGATAAAAGAACAGAGTATTTGGATATAAAAGCTGATGATCTTTGGTACTTAATTTTCTAAAACTGTTTTATTTTTACTAGCAATAATCTCAGAGCCATTCCAGAAGCAGAAATTGGATTAGCAGTTATCTTCATGTCTATGGAAAGATATTGCAACCCTCAAAACCAGCCTGGCATAGGTAATTTTATAAACTTTGTTACTCTGCTGGGGGGAGGGGAAGAAGGAAGGTATTTTATTTTTTGTTAGTAGTATTTATTATTTGTATTACCATAGAACCTAAGAGTCCTAGTCATGGCTGATTATCTTAGTTTAAGCAAAGGAGGCAACATATGTCTTTGTATACAAAAGGGACAAGTAATAGCTAGTGGCCGTTCTCTTTTCAGGCCTACATATGTTTTTAAAATAAATGTTCTTTTCTTTTTTCCATATAGTATTTTTTGCTTTAATGTTTTTATAATTCTTGCACCGAAGATAATCATATTTATAGATGTAAAGAAAAAAGCAGAGACTGACTTAAAATCAGATATATTGTGCAGTGAATATACAAAAATGTATTAAAAGAGTGTTTTGAAATCCACATTTTTAAATGGCACACAGGAACAACATGTATGTAAATCTGCTTATTCCATGCTATCCTGGACCCTTGGAATGAGAACAGTACTGCAAAACAGATGAAGGATGAACAGCAGAAAGTAAAAATAATAAAAATAATAAGAAATGAATGGATTTATAATGCAGTTCCTTATTTGCACTTAAAGGCATTAATCTTTTAAAAAATCTAAAATAAAAATTCAGAACAGTAATAGTTTAGTTGGCCTGAAAATATAATAGGGAAAGGTCTAGACTTCACAGGTTTGGTTTTTGGTGTTTTGTTTCCAAGTATTAGCATAAGAACAGCCATGCTGGGTCAGATCAATGGTCCATCTAGCCCAGTATCCTGTCTCTGACAGTCGCCAGTGTCACATGCTTTTGGCGATTGGAGGTTTAGGAACACCCAGAGCATGAGGTTTCATCCCTAACCATCTTAGCTAATAGCCATTGAGGGACCTATCCTTCATGAATTATTATTTTTGAACCAATTTATACTCTCATATATTGCATTGTATTCACCAATGCAATAAGAGTCTAAATCTATGTGAACAGATCTTAAGTTTTTCCTGTTTTCCAAACGTGTTTGTTTTTTTGGGAGGGTGGGGGGCAGGGCATCAAGTCTGGGACATGGTTTAAGGGATTAAAATAGTATGTGCTTTGTATCATGTTAATAACCTTAGCTGTATTTACAGGTTTAAATTACATGCTTTTGTATGTAATTTTTAAATTAAGCAATAAGTCCTAAAATGATGGGTATTTCTGGTTCATTGGTGTATATTTTGAGTGCATTCAGGCAACGAGACTGAAGGGTGAGGGTGAAATCCTGTCCCCACTGAAATCAGTGTGATTTTTGTCATTTGCTTCAGTGGGGCCAAAGATTTCATCCCACGTGCCTTGCACCAGATAATGCATCAGTAACCCCTGCTGATGAGGCTTGTTGATTCTTACATGTGTTGAAAAATGCACAAAAGTCAGTTTAAAGAAATAAGCTAGTTTTGGAAAAAACAAACAAACCAATATTCCTTGACGATGAAACAGGAAGTTCATGAGGGAAAGCGGGGTACACAGAACTGGCACAGCCCAATAGGATTTGTTGGTTGATTGTAATGTTTCTTTAAAAACAACAACCACCTGTCTCTGGACATATGTGCATAAATTATATTACAAACCATACAAAATAAGTTGACTAGTATTAAAAAAACCTAATGAGACTTGTCCCATAGTCAATTATGTAAGTAGAGAGAGACAGTCTTCATCCCATCAGGCAAATGCTTGAATAAATGGACTTTGTTCCAGGCCATGAAGGTCATCACACTCACAATCTAATGGAGGAAGCAATTCCAGAATTCAAATGTCACTAAAAGCTATCTTACCCAAACATTCAGTACCATGCACTGTAAGTAAGCATGAGTCAACTTGTTTTTCACAGCAGTACAAAGCAAAACAAAGTGTAGCCACTCACTAAAGAGACCTGTGCGTGATTATAAACAGCTCAGTGTGCAATGGCAGCAAATCACCACTCTCTCTTCCACCTCACCCTACCCCACACACACACAAAAAGAGGAGGATATAGAAGAAAAAATACTGAAAATATAATACCATTATATAAAATTGAAGATATACTCCCACCTTGAGTACTGTGTTTAATTCTGGTTATCTCATCAGAAAAAAGGTACAGCAGAAATGTGGGCAACAAAAATGATTTAGAGACTTGGAAGACTGCATATGTGAAAAGATTATAAAGATTAGTACTGATTCATTCACCGAAGAGGTGATTAAGTGAGGACGCGATAGAGTGAAGTAACAAATGAGATTCACTATGTAAACTGCGTGCTCCTTATTACTGTCTCATGTGAAACAATAAAGGGACATCTGATCAAAACAAGAAGCAAAAAATTTAAAACTAAATAAAGGCAAACAATTAGTAGGATTCAAAAAAGGATTTAATATTTATATGGATAAGGTAAACATCCACATTTATGTTTGCATAAAAATGTTTAAGGATTATAAACCATCCTGCTTCATGGTGTAAGTCAATCAATGATCGACGGGGGTTAGGAATAAATTTCTCCTTTAGCTGGTGTATTCTGTCATAGGATCCCTTCTTGCACTTTAGATGCAAGTTAAATAGTAGTAATCCTGAGTTCCATAAATACCCTGAAAAAATAACTACCATATAATCAGTTTAGATTTCTTGTTTTTTGAATGTTGTGTTTTATGATATGCACTGCTGGGTCTTGTGCTGCACCAATGACAGTTTAATATTAAAGTATTTATTATATTGATGAGAATACTGTGGACCAGAATCCTACAGTCCATCATTACTCAAACAAAGCTTTCATTGACTTTAATTTCAGTGGGATTTTTGACCAAGAAAGAGTCCTAGGATTTCGTTCTTGAAGTTCATTGAATCATAGAAGATTAGGGTTGGAAGAGACCTCAGGATGTCACCTAGTCCAACTCCCTGCTCAAAGCAGGACCAACCCCAACTAAATCATTCCAGCCACGGCTTTGTCAGCCAGGCCTTAAAAACCTCTAAGGATGAGATTCCACCACCTCTCTAGGTAACACATTCCAGGGCTTCACCACCCTCCTAGTGAACTAGTTTTTCCTAATATCCAACCTAGACCTCCTGCATTGCAACTTGAGACCATTGCTTCTTGTTTTGTCATCTGCCACCACTGAGAACAACCTAACTCCATCCTCTTTGGAACCCGTATTCAGGTAGTTGAAGGCTGCTATCAAATCCCCCCTCATTCTTCTCTTCTGCAGACTAAATAATCCCAGTTCCTTCAGCCTCTCCTCGTAAGTCATGTGCCCCAACCCCCTAATCATTTTCATTTCCCTCCGCTGGACTCGCTCTAATTTTTCCACATCCTTTCTGTATTGGGGTGCCCAAAACTGGATGCAATACTCCAGATGTGGCCTCACCAGTGCTGAATAGAGGGGAATAATCACTTCCCTCCATCTGCTGGCAATGCTCCTACTAATGCAGCCCAATATGCCATTAACCTTCTTGGCAACTAAGGCACACGGTTGACTCATATCCAGCTTCTCGTTCACTGTAATCCCCAGGTCCTTTTTTGCAGAACTGCTGCTTAGCCAGTCGGTCCTCAGCCTGTAGTGCTTGGGATTCTTCCCTCCTGAGTGCAGACTCTGCACTTGTCCTTGTTGAACTTCATCAGATTTCTTTTGGTCCAATCAGTCTAGGTCACGCTGGACCCTATCCCTACCCTCCAGTGTATCTACTTCTCCCCACCAGTTTAGTGTAATCCACGATCTTGCTGAGGGTGCAATTCATCCCATCATCCAGATCATTAATGAAGAGGTTAAACAAAACCGGCCCCAGGACTGACCCCTGGGAAACTCCACTTGATACTGGCTGCCAAGTAGACATTGAGCCGTTGATCACTACCCGTTGAGCCCGATGATCTAGCCAGCTTTCCATCTACCTTATAGTCCATTCATCCAATCCATACGTTTTTTAACTTGCTGGCAAGAAAACTGTTGGAGATTGCATCAAAAGCTTTGCTAAAGTCAAGATCTATCACATCCACCGCTTTCCCCATATCCACAGAGTCCGTTATCTCATCATATCAGGTATGACTTGCCGTTGGTGAATCCATGTTGACTGTTCCTGATCATCTTCCTCTCCTCCAAGTGCTTCAAAATGGATTCCTTGAGGATTCCTCCATGATTTTTCCAGGGCCTGAGGTGAGGTGAGGCTGACCAATCTGTAGTTCCCCGGATTCTCCATCTTCCTTTTTTAAAAGATGGGCCATATATTCACCTTTTTCCAGTCGTCCAGGACCTGCCCCGATTGCCATGAGTTTTCAAAGATAATGGCCAATGCCTTTGCAATCTCATCAGTCGACTCCCTCAGATACATTAGATCTAGACCCATGGACTTGTGCATGTCCAGCTTTTCTAAATAGTTCTTAACCTGTTCTTTCACCGCTGAGGGCTGCTCACCTCCTCCCCATACTGTGCTGCCCAGTGCAGCAATCTGGGAGCTGACCTTGTCTGTGAAGACTGAGGCAAAAAAAGCATTGAGTACTTGAGCTTTTTCCACATCATCTGTCACTAGGTTGCCTCCCCCATTCAGTAAGGGTCCCACACTTTCCCTGACCACCTTCTTGTTGGTAACATATCTGTAGAAACCCTTCTTGTTACCCTTCACATCCCTGGCTAGCTGCAACTCCAATTGTGCTTTGGCCTTCCTGATTACACCCTGCATGCTCGAGCTGTATTTTTATACTCCTCCCTAGTCATCTGTCCAAGTTTCCACTTCTTGTAAGCTTCCTTTTTATGTTTAAGCTCACTGAAGATTTCTCTGTTAAGCCAAGCTGGTTGCCTGCCATATTTGCTATTCTTTCCGCAATTCAGGATGGTTTGTTCCTGCACCCTCAATAAGGCTTCTGTAAAATACAGCCAGCTCTCCTGGACTCCTTTTCCCCCTCATATTAGCCTCCTGGGACATCCTGCCCATCAGTTACCTGCGGGAGTCAAAGTCTGCTTTTTTGAAGTCCAGGGTCTGTATTCTGCTGCTCTCCTTTCTTCCTTTTGTCAGGATCCTGAACTCGACCATCTCATGGTCACTGTTGCCCAGGTTGCCACCCAATTCTACTTCCCCTACCAACTCTTCCCTGTTTGTGAGCAGCAGGTCAAGAGGAGCACAACCCCTAGTTGGTTCCTCCAGCATTTGCACCAGGAAGTTGTCCCCAACAGTCTCCCAAAACTTCCTGGATTGTCTGTGCACTGCTGTATTGCTCTTCCAGCAGATGTCAGGGTGATTGAAGTCCCCCATGAGAACTAGGGCCTGTGATCTGGAAACTTCTGTTAGTTGTCCGAAGAAAGCCTCGTCTGCCTCATCCTCCTGGTCTGATGGTCTATTGCAGATGCCCACCATGACATCACCCTTGTTGCTCTCTCCTCTAAACTTAATCCAAAGACTCTCAACAGGCTTTTCTGCAGTTTCATACTGGAGCTCTGAGCAATCGTACTGCTCTCTTACATACAGTGCAACTCCTCCACCTTTTCTCCCCTGCTTGTCCTTCCTGAACAGTTTATACCCATCCATGACAGTGCTCCAGTAATGCCAGTTACCCCACCAAGTCTCTGTTATTCAACCACATCATAGTTCCTTGACTGTGCCAGGACGTCCGTTCTTCCTGCTTGTTTCCCAGGCTTCTTGCGTTCATGTAGAGGCACCTAAGATAGCTAGCCGATTGTTCTATTTTCTCAATGTGAATCAGGAGGCCTCCCCTGTTGCACCCTCCTCCTTGTGTTTCCTCCCAGTATCCCACTTCCCCACTTACCTCTGGGCTTAGGTCACCATCCCCTGGTGAGCCTAGTTTAAAGCCCTCCTCACTAGGTTAGCAAGTCTGCCTGCGAAGATGCTCTTCCCTCTCTTCGTTAGGTGGATCCCATCTCTTCCTAGCAATCCTTCTTTCTGGAACAACATTCCATGGGTTGGAGAATCCAGAGCCCTCTTTCCAACACCACCTGCGTAACCATGCATTTACTTCCACAATTCGATGGTCCCTACCTGGGCCTTTTCCTTCAATAGGGAGGATGGACGAGAACATGACTTGTGCCTGAAATTCATTTATTCTTCTTCCCAGAGCCACGTAGTCTGAACCACTGAAGGTTATCCTTGGTAGTATCATTGGTGCCCACGTGGAGAAGTAGGGAGAGGTAATGGTGCGAGGCTTGATCAGTCTCCTCAGACGCTTGGTCACATCCTGAATTCTAGCTCCAGGCAAGCAGCACGCTGCCTGGAGTTGTATGTTAACTATTGAATCTCTGTGAATTTATAATTAAAATCAGTTAACAGTAATAGTACTGTAATAATGGCTTATACATACACAGAGCCACCGGAAGACTGCTAACTTTTTAATTGTTCCGTATGTTCAACTTGCAGCTAAACAGCTGGTTAGTCCAGGATCAGCTATTCCGCATCCAACCCTTTCTCAGAGTTCGACTGTAGATGAGACCATAATGCCTGTTACTACAAGTGATAACACAGCATATGTAGCTGACACAGAAGCAGAAGAACTGATGGACACATGGTAAAGTACACATTGAAATAGTTTCCTAAGTTGATGTCTATAAATAAGGCTATTACCATGTCAGAGGAAATTTGAGCCAGTTATAGACTTGCCATAGTCAGTGGGGCTCAACATTTTATGTGGCACTCCCTAACTTGCAATAGTAAACTGTGGTCAGTATCCCGGTGGTCCATCTTCTGCCTTGAAGTGATAGGGTATAGCAAGAAAGCCAGCTGGGGCATCAGGTCTGACAGTAGAAGATGCAATTGGTGATGCAGCAGATCTGATTGGCTCTTTTAACCATGTTCAGAATTATAAAGCAATTTCATAATTATCTAGATAATTTAGTCATATTAATAGCAGGTATTAATATTAATTTATATAGCTTCCATAAGTGTTCATTGTATACCACAGGTACAGCTGTATTACTGTGGTGCTCTGTAATGTGTATGCTGTTTCTGCAATGACTGCCTGTGTGTTTACTGAGTATTTTTTCTCCCTTTTGTGTAGTATGGAGATAAGCGGAGAGAAGAGAGAGAAAACTCCCGAAATGGATCGCAGAGACAAAATGTATTCACAGAATATAACCACTGTGAAGGAGACTCCCAGCTCTAGTGGCAATGTAAATACAGGGACAGTATTACCCAAGATGCATAAAACACCTGGGGTTGACCAAAAAAGTCAACCCCTCTCACCCTCTAAAATTTTAGGAGTTAATAGAAATAGAGAGAGAGCTTCACAGCAAGAGTCTAACTCCATTAAAAATTATTTCCAGGCAGCTCCAAAGAAAAGGTATGTTCACGGAAATTCTTTTTTTCTGGGTATTTTTCATATTGTCAGATGGTGCTATTTTTGTTTTAGAAAGTAATTTGTTTTAGTTCAAGGGGCATACATTTTATTCCCAATGTAGATTTTACTACCTCCTTAAGAAATTGAATTCCTCTGTTCATTTTTTTTATTTTAAACTGGCCATTTCTAGGTATCTGTTTCTCCAAACAGAAAAGTGTATGCTAAGGTTGCTCAGATTCAAATCCCAACACCAATAATGAAAAATGCAGAAAATCATAAGTTGAGGCATATAAATAAAGATTGCCTTAACTCCCACTTACATTATGCAACGCTCATACAGCTGGTTCATCTCTGTAACAAACTCCCACGGACATCCAACATATAGCCAAGCACAGTGCACACAACCAAGTACTCTAATCACTTAAGCAACATTACAAAATCAAAATGAAGAAAATCATCACTTGTGGATTTTTGGATTCATATTCAGTCATTGTGCATTGTTCACTTACTGAGTTTATCACGTTAACAGGTTTCTTTGTTTCTTTCTGGCTAAGGGAAAGGATTGAAGAGGGAGAAACATCTGTACCTAAACTGGCAAAGATGGAGGAAAAGTCATCTCATCTTTCCAGTCAAACCCAACCCACAACTTCCTTGATGTGGAAAAGTAAAGTGGAACACACTCAAAAGGAACAATATACCTTGGACCTGAAAACAAACCTTTCACCTGTAGACACAAGCCTAAAGCTTGCAATAGAAAGTAGCAAATCAGAGAAAGATAAAACTGTTACTAAAAATGTTTCCAGTGAAAAGCCTGCATCAAAGAAAAGAAAAGAATTAGGTGGTTTAGCTGAGGATGCAGCTACACTAGAGCTTGTGTTTGGGAGCAAAGAGCTGGATTGGGAAGCTGAAATGGGGGATCATGATGAGGAGCATGGAGCCAATATGCAGAAAAAAAGACGTTTGGAAACCAAGGGGAAAAGGATTGAAGAAGAAAATGTAATTCAAGAAGAAGCCAATAGGATATTGGTAAGTAACGTTCTTTATTAATCACTTGTTATGGACCTGATTCTGCAAGTTGCAGTGTCATTGGAGGAGCCTGTGCAGCAGCATCTTGCAAGATTAGACTGTTAGCACAGAGACAAATACAGCTTAAGAACAGATACCAGCTTTGAGCAATTTGAATGCATTGTATTAGCTCTTATGCCATTATAAACGAGCAGTAGGTGTAGTTTGGGGATTTTATGTAAATATTGTGATGGATGAGTTAAAATATAGACTTCCTGGCTCTCCAGAAGTCACTATCCTGTATCAGAGTAACAGCCATGTTAGTCTGTATTCGCAAAAAGAAAAGGAGTACTTGTGGCACCTTAGAGACTAACCAATTTATTTGAGCGTAAGCTTTCGTGAGCTTCCGATGAAGTGAGCTGTAGCTCACGAAAGCTTATGCTCAAATAAATTGGTTAGTCTCTAAGGTGCCACAAGTACTCCTTTTCTTTTCACTATCCTGTAGTATTTTTTAGAGTTTATTTCCCAGATGAAGGCACTTTATAACTTTAAACTGGCATCAGTTATTTATGCTTCATGCTTGCTTTCTGAAGCTGTCAATTTGCTCTTGTTAAAGAAATATAGTCTTTATAAGCAGAACAGCCAAACCTTTTCCTGTCCTGAAGAGAAGGTTTTTTAGTACAGTGTGCAGTTATTGTTGTTAACTGTTATGCTCCTGAATTCCCAGGAGAAACTGTGTCAAGCTCCTTTCCAGCTGCAGAATTTCTGTACCTGTGTGTTGGGCGTCAGCAAGATGATATATTGTCAGATCATTATGTGTTCTTAGCGTTCTCGCCTAATATCTCTCAAATAGCTAAGCCTCATATGTGAAACTGAGACACTAGGCTGCATAGACAGAAGTCTGGTCTGATATGGGGTTAATTTCTTAAATATTTTTCTTAAACTATAAGTATATTGCAGCTTAAATATTTTAGCCAACCTTATGGGTTTAGAAAAGTTTATGAACTGTAAGTGATGAGTATCTGAAACATTTTGGTTGAATGTAAACGGCTATTGTGACTTCTCTCTTTTTCCCCCTTTGGAAATATTTCTCTGTTTGCCACAGAGATTCTTTCCTAAAATAAAGCACTGTCCCATTTTTTTTCCAAACATGCTCTTCTGTATGCTGACTCCATATATCAGTCTTTGTTGGGCTGCCACAGTAAATCAGCCACACTTTTATTCACAATAGTAAATTAACTAATGTTGCTCGCCAATGAAAACTCCTTTTCTAGAGGTACATTCTGAAGTTTTGAAAGCATGCCACTTGGAAAAGCCAAGAATGTGTCAACAAAACTGGTCCCAGATTAGCATGCTGTGACCGTTAGCTAAACAACAGATATTGGACACACAGGTTATACAACTTTTTTTATCTTCAGATTGCAGAAAGAAACCAGAGTTTTAAATGTTCTTATTTCACATTTATACAGCACCATAAATTTACACAAAACTTGTAGAAATGTAAAACTGTTCTTACTTAGGTGACCAGATAGCAAGTGTGAAAAATCGTGACATTTTTTTTTTCTCCAGGGGGAAGGAGAAGGAAATATAGTTGCATATATAAGACAGCCCCTAATATCGGAAAACTGGTTGCCCTAGTTTTTACCCCAAAGAGTGTATAATCAAAGTTAGACAATGTGAGTGATGACAGCAGGCAAACGGAGGAATAAGGGTTATAACAAATAAGGGCTGACATGATTGATTGTGTGGTTATGAGCTTGTGATTACTGACTCTTTAAAATTTGAGAATGAAGTAAAGTCCTAGAGGAAGACTAGAAGGCACTGGCTGTTTGGTCTAATTAAAAATAAGTTACTTGGAGGAGGACAGGAGAAGATGCTTGGGAGAAGGATATTATTACAAGCATAGGGGACAAGTGTGTGTATTTGGAGGTGTTAAGGGAGCAAGGATTAGGTTTAATTGACATGGTGGTAAAAACACCACAAATTGCTGAAGCTTAATCTACACTAGTGGGAAAATTACCTAGTGTAGACCTGGCCTAAGTGCGGTAAAAATAATAATGGGATTTTTTCTTTGCATCAGATAACTTTCCACATTATACAGTAAAGAATCCCCTCACTTCACCTATATTGTGGAACCGAAAATTACTTGTTTGTTGAAATAAAGGAAGCTGATGACATTCACCTGAAAGAGAGCACTTCTCAAGACTCTTTAGACATAACGCACTTATAGTAACTAAAGAATTTATTATAAGCTTAATTCTTCATGTGGTAGACAAGTTCTTGCCTGATAACTGTGGCCTGGAATCCTTCTTTGTTTGTGTCCCTTTTCAGAGGTCAGATAAATGTTTTTGCACACATTCTGGAATCTGAGGTTGCAGATCTGGAATCTGAGGTCTGATTTGTACTGAGATTCTGTTCATGTGGCTGAGGTAAAAGTGTAGACAAGACTTTAGTTTTCTGGTGTGAAAGAACATATTTGGTATTGAGCCAAAAACGACAGGGGACTTCTGATAAAAGAAAAAATTTTAATCTAATCTGACCACTTGGGCCACTGCAAGTAAACAATTTAGAAAACACTGAGTTGATACTAGCACCTTCCCCACTGGATTTTTTCATAACAAACACCACTTGTGACGTCAACACACCTTTATAGCAGAAAACGAAAAGCCTTAGAGGAAGTTATTAGTTATTGAGCAAAATTGTGATGTGTAGTAGTCTGCTCTCCCTTCTTTAACTACAGGCTGTGAGGAGACTAGCCTTGATCCTAATCAAGATTGCTCCCAAATTGACACTTACATCTAGTTATTTCCTGACCATGAGCTCTGGGATATAATTTAAAATAGAAAACTAATAGTTTCATTCATACCTGAAAACTTACAGTGATTTTCATAATCCTTACTGGTAGGATTTTAGGAATAATGAATTTTTAAGGAAAAACACTTTGTTTTCTTATACTAAAAAAAGTAATCTGAACAAACCAGGGACAGTGGTTTTATGAGAACAACGCATTGTTAAAGTATATGTCCAGGGTATTTTTTTTTAAACATGTGATCATAATTTACAGTTACAATGACTGCTCTTTAAAATTGTTTGGTCAAACAGCAAGAAAACGAACTTGGCACTGTTCCAACTTCAAAGAAGAAAATTGAGATTAAGCAGGAATCATCAGTTTTGGTAAGAAACTAGTCAATGTAAGGAATACCTAGCATTAGTTAATACTGAGAAATGTGAAGGAAATGTACCAGTTTTTTGCTTTTAAAACTAAGTTCATATGTGTGCAGTAGACATAGGAGGGTTTGATGAATGAGGGCTTATTTAAACATAAAAATTGTACCACTTTTTAACTATATCAGTATATAGTCAAAGATGTACAGGTACACCACCAACTTCTCTTGTGTGGATTCAGTTACACTGGTATAAAAGTGCTTATCCCATATAGATTATTACCATAGGGGAAGGGAGATAAATACACCAGTAGAAGTCATCTTTATATTGGATATATATTGTAACTGTGTCCATAATAGGGCTTTCACTGGCATAAAATTATCACAGTAGAATAAATCACACCCTTAACTAAAATATTATTATTAATCGTGTTTATTATGGTAATCATATGCCAAGAATAAGCCCTCCTTGTGCTAGGCACTGTACAAATAGTAGTGGAGTTCCTGTCCCAAAGAGTTTGTAATCTGAATAGACCAGACAGACACAGGGTGGGGGAAGGGGTATAACACACAAGCAAAGTAAAAATATGATGGCAGCAAATGTCATATTGGTTCCATAATTTTGAGGGGTTGGAAGATCAGCTAAATGGGGGTCGGGGGGAATGAAGGAAGAAAGGGCACTGAAAGAAAGAGGGGGTAAGGGGGACAGGGCAGGGGAGAAGAAGTTAAGAGAGCAGGTATGGAGTGAAGATGACATGAAGAGATTGAGAGGGCAGCCAATCAGCACAGGGCAGAGAAAGTCCAGTCCAAACCGTAGAAGGTTCTCTGAATGTCCAAAGGTCCCTGATTTGGCTGCTTCTGCAGCTGCTCCTATGGGCTGGAGTCTCTGGGTACATCTACACAGCAGCTGGAGATTAATTTCAAACTCGGGTAGATGTACACACGATAGCTGTGATCAAGCTAGTTTGCTAAAAATAGCAGTGCAGCCAGCATCACAAACTACGTGCCAGAATACAGTCCCATCTGAGACCCTAAGTACGTATTCAGTTGACTAGTCCAGTGGTGTGAAAACTTTTCCAGTCGCCCACCCCCTTACCATTAGAGGAATCTGTTTGTCCCCGTCTCCTCACAAGGTGGGTGGCCCGCTGAGGTGAGTCTGGGTGGAGGTGGCTCTCTCTCCCCACCTCCTTCCATGGGGGCTGGCCCAGGCCCCACTGCATGGAGCTGGCACAAGCTGCCTGGCATTGCCACTTGCCCCCCGAATGTTCCTCTGGGTGTGCCCCACAGTTTGCCTAGCCCATGATGTTGTCCACACTGCAGTGGTTACGCTGTTATTTTTAGCATGCTAGCTTGATCAAAGCTAGTGCTTGTACATCTACCTGAGCTGGGAACTACATCTCCAGCTGCAGTGTAGACCCAAACCCAAACCTGGTTCCTTCCTGCAGTTTCCCCCCCAAAACCACACGGCAAGGAGAGGAACCACCTGGGTCTGAGTTTCCCTGGAGTGGGGATAACACTTAAGTTTAGACCAGGCCTTACTTTACTAGAAATCTAGTTTTAAATTTTAAGCTTTATCTAGACTGTTCTGAGCTAATATCTGCCTTCCATTTCTAACCCGTCAAGTGTACATTCTTTGATCTCTTAAAATAGGCTCTTAGTTTACTGAACAACTTGAAGTTCTCCTTTCCCCTTTTTCCTCTCACAAGAACACTGACAGACTTCAAGATGTCTCCAGCAATCTGCCCAGCAGACTCTTGTTGACTGAATTTAGATCACTGGTTGTTAGCCATCCAAGGCCAAATAGTCTTGTTGCTGCACAAATCGATTACGAGCAACTGAACAACTTTAAGAAATTCAAAAAGGTGAGTGCATATTTTAAACTGCCACAAGATGGCACTGTTTGAAATAGCTATGTAAGTGCTGCCATAATACAAAAGAAATGTTATTAGATGAAAGGCATTCTTAGAGATTCTACTTCCACTTATATTTTATTAACTTGCTGTCACCATTGTGGTGAAGAGCAAAATACTGTGGCTATTTTTGTATTAATTTATCAGACAGATACCAGAGAAGGTTACCTTCCACCCAGAGGCAACCCATGGGGGGGCATGCGGAGTCACGTGCTCCCCATATTCGCTCCTTGGCTTGTACTGAGCACCTTCACATGGACTGAGCATGCTCAGTAGCAGTACTGAAGCTGGCTGCCCTCACTTGCGTCCCTGTCCCTCCATCAGCAGGCACAGGCCATCTCTGCTCCCACCACATGATTACCTAGAGACCTGTGTTCTTTCTGGAGGCTTGTGCAGTTCTTACTCAGGCTGATTCATTAAATGATACTGTGATCTTGAACAGTATCATAACGTCAGGTTGTATCTCTTCTTAGGCTTACTGTGTCACTTTCAAATAACATATTGAGAACATATATTGGCTTGAAGTTTTACATTTTGAAAATTTGGATTTCTAAAACATACTACTAAAATGCATGTCTTATAAAACTAAAATCAATTGGGTTCTGAAAGTGACTTTTACAAAACTTTGTGTTCATTGTAGGAATATAGCTTCAGCCCAGAATTTAAAGAGAAAGTGGAGTGTAATCTAAGATATGCAATACATTACATTTAAGTAAAAAATTTAAATGCCTTTAAATGGACATGGTCATCTTGAAAATCACATTTGTATGAAAATATTGTACCTACCATAGTTCCAAGTGGCATTTTAAAATTGTTTAATAGGACATGCAGTATCTTTGAAAGTATCATCCTTTCTGTTTTGCTGGATTCTGCATTACAAATTCTTCTCTACATCAGACTGGATTAGAAACTTAAAATATCAGTTTCTCTTGTTTTCAAAACGCATTTTAAATGTATTAGCTTATTAATTTAACAAATGAAAATATAACTAGTCTTTCTTTTGGGGGAGAGTTGGCAGTTTGCAGGTGGTGTGCTATTTAAGTGGAACTGTTCATTGCATAGATACTGTTAGACAGACTGGATGAAAGGTGTTCTGCCACTGCGAATTTACTAGAGGTGGCTACTCTGGTCTTACAAGGTTGTCAGCCTGCACTATAACAGCAAAAGTTTCTTGTCCAACAGGTACCTTATCCTGGAGCAGGACAACTTCCACACATTATTGGAGGATCAGATCTAATAGGTCACCATGCCAAAAAGAATTCACAGTTGGAAGAATGGTTAAGGCAGGAAATGGAGGTAAGGAATTCTTTCCAGGCAACAAAACAACTGTGGTCCTTCCCAAGAATAGGGCAACTCTGTACTAAAAGTTGAGCCTATGTGCGGAATGAATCTGCCACTTAACACATCCAAAAAGATGTTAGGGATGTGACCCAAATAAACGAAAGGGGTTCATTGACAAGGCTGACTACTGATTCTTTTGGATAAATTTGATATGTAATATTAATAAAATGTTTAATAACATTTTAAAATCTGTTCAGACTGTTAGTACAGAGGAGACTGCTGTAAAGTAAAAGGCACTGACCTAGGAGAAAGTGATTTTCATGACTGAGTGAAATAAACATTTTATTGAAGCTCAGCCCTGCATGAATTCTGAGTATGGCAGTGAAAATGTTTACATTAACAAGCTCAGCGACCTCAGCTTTCAAGGCGCTCAGTGCAGCACTGCTGATGGTCTGCTCACAGACTAGAATGCAGTTGATATTCAGATGAAAAATATGTATGAGATGTGAATGTTGTAATCAGGAGACTGAAGGTTGTGTTTTTCACTATAGAACATCCTGCCATTTGTATGTAATTTATATGTTGCTGTAGCAGTTCTCAACTTTTTAATTTTGTGTGCTGCTTCTTAAAAAAAGCTCCTCTCATGGGCCACATCCCATCCCAATCTCCCACTCCAGGTTCCATATCTTTCCTGTGGTATCAGTATTACTTGGTTAATTGGAAAGGTAATAAGACAGTACAAAGGAGAGAACGTGATAGGTGGGACTTCTTGATTTTTTTACTCCATTCCTACTTTTGTATTTGCTGTTTATTTCCTCTGCCTGATTTGATTTTACCAGTTGATTTCAGCACTAGATCTTATCTTGCAGTATAGCACTGCATAATCTCTCCTGGCCACTTTGCAATTTGCCATCTTGTGTGCTTGTTATCCTAATTTGGCATCCACCACAAATTTACTCATTGTTGAATTTCTATGAGAAGGACATGAGCCGCAGAGCAGGGAGGTTCTGACTCTTTTTTCCCTCTCACCCTCTAGCTCATGATTAATTTTAGCCTTTGGAAGACCTAAAATTAATCATAACCCAGATTCCAATTAACAAAGTATTGCCGCTTGAAAACAGACATAGATGCTTTACTCCCATGACAGAAGCAACTCCGGTTAGAAGAGGTCAGCAAACCACAGTTTGAGAGTGTGCTGTTATGCAAATTTTTCAAAGTAGTTTAGAATATCGTTTGCGTAAAAAGATACCGTGCAGGATGTTGGCCTAACCCTGAGAGATGCTAAAGATCTGCAGCTTGTATTGTCTTTAGTTGTGGATGTTCAGCACTTCTCTGGCTCAACTCTTAAAATTTTATAGCAACACAAGGGATCAAACTCAGAGGACAGTTTAAAATGGTGAAATTTGCAGCTTCTTTTGCCCCTTCCTTTTTCGCCACCAAAGCGTACATGTTACACTTACACAGTATAGATTTTAACGTAGACTCACAACATACCACTTACACACCCCTATAACTCATCACCTGTATTAGACTAGACTTAATTACTCAAATTCAAAGTTGGTGCAGTACAAACTCAGTTGCTGAAGGATGATAGCACTGCATGAAAAAGCTCCGTAGTAGGAAGGTATAGGTAGTTGTAAACTGAAGTAGGTCATCCATTACTTTAACTTGCATCTCCTTGGCATAAGTGATGTTAACTCACAGCTACTTGACCGTGTGTAAAGGAGTCTGCCTTCACACCACCGCTGAACTAGTTCCAGAGTTTAAAACTAATTGTGACAAAACTCAAAATTTTGACCAACTAATAGGTTTCTGCTTGTTGCAGTTTTAGTTAGACATTCCTGTTTTTGAAAGTTCCGTTATGACAAGTAATGTAAAGGCCTGGATATTTTCCCCTCCCTTTCATTTTTGTCTGACACACAGGACAGCTACACTGTGCAGTTAGCTGGGGTAATTGCCACCTGGGTCTGAGCATTTGAGTTAGCCTAGCCTGAGTATGAGCATTCCCACAACAAAGCTGTTCCTCTGTTACTGTGTCCTCATTATTTCTGCTCTCATCCATACATGTCTGGGGGCATAGCCAATGGTCTTTTGATGCAGAAACTCTCTAATATTCTTTCCCAGTAAATTGTGGGAGAACGTCTCGGTCCTTTGGAGGAAATTGTGGGAAAGGGTTTTGTAGGACTTTCAGCCCTCAACTGATCTTGCCTGCACCTTCAGGGCAAAGTAGGCAAGTTCTAGCTTGAGCTAAACAACCGATCTGGCTTTAATCCATACCTCTACCCATGCACGCAAGCATAAATTCAAAGTCCAAATAAACACTTGCTTGAGGGTTTTGTATGTGGATGAGTGGTTTGGGCAAAAACATGTAACAGCAAGGGCTAAAACTACAGTGAAGACATACCCACAGGTGTCCGATCATTTTTCAGATTGGTTTCTGTAACTGTGGCCTACTTTAAGAATTGAAAACCATAATCTGACATTCCTGTAAAACGCATTGTATGTGAGGTATTCACAGAAAGATGTCTCAGTACAGGACTATTGTGTTAGTATGAACAATATTGAAGAGATTTACTTTATTTTGTCAGGAACAGAATCGGCATGCAAGAGAGGAATCACTTGCTGATGATCTCTTTAGGTAAGGAATTTTTTTGTTAGTGCTTTTAAAAGATCTGATATGTTATATATCACTGACTTCTTTTCTGGACAAATTTCAGTTTTCTAATTAAACCATGATGGCTAATGCTCCATTGGCTGTCTCCTTTCTTGATACCACTTCTGAGTAGAATGTGTCCAAATTGACATCCTCTTCTACTCTTTCCTAACTCTCTTTATACCTTAAACTTCATCAGTTCCTGGGCCGTACATAACTCCTTTTAATGTAACATTCAAAACTACTAGTCTTATTGGTAATTAGAGCCTTCTCAGATAGAATTGCTGCCGCTTCATCTCCCTCTTATAAACACCACTTTAGCCTATAATTCCAGGAACCGGGGCATTAAGTTTGAATCAAGAATCACTTTCCTATTTGTGAGGATGCAGCTTTCCTTCCTGCCATCAGAGTTTGCCAGTGCCTGTCTCCCTATTGGTTGGAAGGTTTTGCTCTGGCTGAACCAGAGACTCCCCTTTCCTGCATAAACAAAACTTGTCCAAAATAAAAACAGATTGCTTGGGTTATTGTGCTGTAATCAGAGTATGGGGGGGACCCTCTGCACTTTTCACAGAGGGGCTCTCACCTTTACACACAGGGATCCTAAATGGGCCTTTGCCCCATTCATTTCCAGGCTTCAGCCCTTTCTCCATGAAAAGATCAGTACTGCGCTTCCCTTGTTTCCTTTTTGGTAGAAGACTGTCAGCAGGTCCTGCCATCTTCCCACTCTCTCTCTCTCTCCAGAATAAAGCAGGCCTTTTTATACCCAGCATGCTGTTAGAAGCCTACAGTTCCCATGGTTCTGTGGCTCCTGACAGGACTACAAGTCACAGAATCCCTCTGTTTGGGGCAGGGCCCAAGCCACAGGAGTGAGGTGACACCTCTTATCCTGGCTCAAGACATTGATATGCTGCTGTATCTTGTACACTTCTAAATCTACCCTGTGTAAAACACCTTCTCTTTCATAAACCTTCTTTACCAGTTTTCTGCTGATAACCTCATTTTACTTTTACTTCTCCTTCCCTGTCTGCCTTCTTTAGCGAGGACATTAGATTCTTCTTCCACACCATTCTTTGACCAGTTCGTTCTCTGCCTCTCTACATCTTCTTTTCCTAGGCATGTGACTCCTAACCTAATCTCTAATAATAAACAAAAATGGAAGCCCACCCTGAGGCAGTCTTTCTCTTTATTCAGTTTTTCTCTTTAAAAGTCACTGTATTGTTCTGTGCCGTTCCAACCTTTGCAAATTGTATGATATGTATTGTAAACTATATAGTTTACTTGTATGTGTATGTATAGATTGTAACGTGGAATGAAGTGTGTTCTGTAATTATTGCTAGAGCTCTTTTTTTCAGTAATCACAAGAGTCACTCTAACAAGTTGATTGTTTAGAAAGAATTAATTTTTCATTGCTCCTTAAACCTGCTACTGTTGGAACTTTTAACTAGGGGTGGAAGAACCCAGAAAAATTCCAGCTCTGATTGTTTAATTCTACAGTTGAAAAAATTATGCAAAAATCACAGTTTGCAGAATCCAAACTCCTCTGTAAAAAAGAATAGAAATGCCAGGGCAGTAGAATATGATATGAGTGGGGCCCTAACAAATTCACAGCCGTGAAATCTGGTCTTTTGTGTGCTTTTACCCTGTACTATACAGATTTCATGGGGAAAATCAGTGTTTCTCAAATCATAGAATCATAGAATATAAGGGTTGGAAGGGACCCCAGAAGGCCATCTAGTCCAACCCCCTGCTCGAAGCAGGACCAATTCCCAGTTAAATCATCCCAGCCAGGGCTTTGTCAAGCCTGACCTTAAAAACCTGTAAGGAAGGAGATTCTACCACCTCCCTAGGTAACGCATTCCAGTGTTTCACCACCCTCTTAGTGAAAAAGTTTTTCCTAATATCCAATCTAAACCTCCCCCACTGCAACTTGAGACCATTACTCCTCGTTCTGTCATCTGCTACCATTGAGAACAGTCTAGAGCCATCCTCTTTGGAACCCCCTTTCAGGTAGTTGAAAGCAGCTATCAAATCCCCCCTCATTCTTCTCTTCTGCAGGCTAAACAATCCCAGCTCCCTCAGCCTCTCCTCATAAGTCATGTGTTCCAGACCCCTAATCATTTTTGTTGCCCTTCGCTGGACTCTCTCCAATTTATCCACATCCTTCTTGTAGTGTGTGGCCCAAAACTGGACACAGTACTCCAGATGAGGCCTCACCAATGTCGAATAGAGGGGAACGATCACGTCCCTCGATCTGCTCGCTATGCCCCTACTTATACATCCCAAAATGCCATTGGCCTTCTTGGCAACAAGGGCACACTGCTGACTCATATCCAGCTTCTCGTCCACTGTCACCCCTAGGTCCTTTTCCGCAGAACTGCTGCCTAGCCATTCGGTCCCTAGTCTGTAGCGGTGCATTGGATTCTTCCATCCTAAGTGCAGTACCCTGCACTTATCCTTATTGAACCTCATCAGATTTCTTTTGGCCCAATCCTCCAATTTGTCTAGGTCCTTCTGTATCCTATCCCTCCCCTCCAGCGTATCAACCACTTCTCCCAGTTTAGTATCATCCGCTGAGAGTGCAATCCACACCATCCTCCAGATCATTTATGAAGATATTGAACAAAACCGGCCCCAGGACCGACCCAAATTGGGAGTTGTGGGGGGGCGGGTCACAAGATTATTTTAGGGGGGTTGCGGTGTTGCTGCCTTTACTTCTGCACTGCCTTTAGAGCTCGGCGGCCGGAGAAAGGCAGCTGTTGGACGGACACCAAGCTCCGAAGGCAGCGCCTCGCCAGAAGCAGCGCAGAAGTAAGGGTGGCAATACCATACCAGGCCCCCCCTTACTTCTGCGCGGCTGCTGATGGTGCTACTACCTTCAGAGCTGGGCTCCTGGCCAGCAGCCACTGGTCTCCAGATGCCCAGCTCTGAAGGCAGTACCACCATCAGCAGCAGTGCAGAGGTAAGGGTAGCAGTACTGCGACCCCCCCTCCCCCTCCTTTTTGGGTCAGGACCCCTACAATTACAACAGGGTGAAATTTCAGTTTTAAATAGCTGAAATCATGAAATTTACGATTTTTTAAATCCTTTGTCTGTGAAATTGACCAAAATGGACCCTGAATTTGGTAGGGCCCAGGATGTGAGATTAAATCTTGTGCTTAGTCTACAAGTATTATTGCAAAACTGAATTAAAGAATGCTGCTTACCATAGAATGTTTGTTGTGAAGTGGTAGTAATAAGAGCACAAATCTCAAAGAATGCCACCATTTTTATCATCAAACATGCTGGAATACATTTGTTGTTGCCTTTATAAAAACACCCTTCACCATAGAATTCTACCTAGGCTCCAATTTATTTTCATGCTGCTTTTGATATTTAGTTTTAATATTTACTGTATTTATGTAAATCTTTTGTGTGGTGGAAACTTGTAACACAAACATTTCAATTTTAGACACGCTGCAACCTGCTTACTGGACATATCCTGATCATGGCCTTGATCCTGCATGACTTCAGTGGGAGCAGGTTCAGTGTCATGTAGTATTAGCAGCTGCAGGTTTCTGTGAGAATAGCATTTGAAGATGTGTTCAGCAGAATCAGTCAAGCAGCACTCAGAGATCAAGGCTAGCTGGAAAGAAAAGCTCCACTCCACAGAGCATGCCAGGTCTTGTCTCACACTTCGTAGTTTCTGTGGTCTGAATTCATTGCACATGCCCAGGGCTCCTTGCATCTCTCCATTCCATCCCAGGAGCTCGCTGTGTTCCATCTCTTTCTTTCAGGGACTCCCTGTAATCCTCTCCCTCATTTTGTGGCCTCTGCATGCTCCTCCCACCCCAATACCATATGCTAGCGTTTCTGTGTACTCTCTAGCTACCACATCTGGTCCACCTGTCAAAGACTCTGCACCTTCTTCCCACTCACCCTTTTTTTTTTTTTTTTTTTTTTTCTGTCTGGGAGTTAATAGTTTGTAGTGTTGTACCCATCTTAGGAGATAATAGATCATTCACAATGTCAACATGTTAAACTCTCTTGGGAGGATGGACAGAGATGAGGGGTGCGATTGATGTTATGCTGAACAGTGGCTGCAGTCAGCCAGTTTGACCTCTAGAGAATTACAGAAGTGGTTGAAGTTGCTGGGTCTAATAACCATATGCAAGGGCCTCTGAGTGTCACCCATTTTTCCTTCCCAATTTTCACCATGCTCAATAGGCCCATTGCTGCCTAGAACATTCCCTGGGAGTTTGGAATTGATCGGATGCAGCAGTCAAACAATTACAGCATTATATTCATGTGTACCTCATCAGGAGCACTAAATTCCCCAATAGCAACTATGTAGTATTGCCAACTTCCAGAGATGAAACATCGAGTCAGACCTTCAAAAATCATGACTTTATTTTTAAAAAAAAATTATATTGCATATTTTAGGTCAGTCTCTTGATCCCCAGGGTGTGTGCATGTGACAATTAGTGTTGTCCACTCTCCCACCTGTACGGGATAAGGTGATTTTGGCCCTGCTGCAGGAGCTCTCACCACCACATCTGCCTGTCTCCTGCTCAGCAGTTAATCCTGTCCTCCAGTCCCCAATCAGTTCTCTCCCCTCCCAACCCCCCCAATTCAGTCCTCCAGTCCCCATCAACACCACCTCTGTCAGTTCAGCACCTGTACCCCAGCAACCCCCACCACCCTCAGTTCACCCTCCCAGCACTCACCCCATCTGCTCAGAACCCACCATCAATACAGTGTCCCCACCCTCCTCACCTCTGCTCTTCAGGGTTCTTCACCCTCTCCAGGCCTGGGAGGCTGCAGTGGGATCCCTTCTCCCCTGGTAGGGGAGCAACTGCCCTGGCCGTGGCTGACAGGATTTCTAAGTAAAATTAAGCCTCACTTTTAGAACTCCCAAATGGCAGGAGGTTTTTTGTTTTTTTCCAGTTGATTCAGTTGCTTATTTGAGGGTTGGCCCTCCCCCTTCTTTATGTCCCAGCGTACAGCTACACTAGAACAGAGGTTCTCAAATTTCATTGCACTGTAACGGCCTTCTGACAACAAAAATTACACGACCCCAAGAAGGGGGACTGAAGCCTAAGGGGGTTGAAGCCGAAGCCAAAGCCAGAGGGCTTTCAGCCCTGGATGGTGGGAGCTGTAACCTGAGCCCTGCCACACAGGGCTGAAGCTGAAGCCTGATCCACACTGCCCAGGGCTGAAGCCTTCAGGCTTCAGCTTCAGTCCCGGGCAGTGGGGCTTGGGCTTCAGCCGGGGTCTGAGCAAGTCTAATGCCAGCCCTGGTGACCCTATTAAAATGGGGTCCTGACCTATAGTTTGAGAACCGCTGCACTAGACAGTTTGTACTCTCTACTAGTGTAGCCATTCTTAAGCTGACAGGCAATAGGTCTCCTGTCAGCTTTACTACTCCAGCCGAGCGATGGTAGTTATGTCAGCAGGAGAAGCTCTTCCATTGACATAGCATTATCCACACCAGCGCTTATGTCAGTGTAACTTACGTTGCTCAGGGGGGTGATTTATTCACCCCCTCGAGTGCCATAAATCATGCCAACGTTAGCTGTCGTGTAAATAAAAGATATTATGTCACCCACCTTGTCTCTCTAACATCCTGGGACCAACACAGCTACAACACTCCTGCATACAGCATTATAGCCAGCCAGACAAGCAGAGAAATGCCATCAGGTTGAGCATAGGGCTATGTCTTCACTGGCAACTGAATGACAAAACTTGTGTCTTTCAGAGGTATTAAACCCCTCTCCCCCCCGCCCCAAAGACAAAAGTTTTGTCGACGACAAATGCTGGTGTGAACAGTGCTTTGGTGGCAGGGGAGCCGACAAACAGCGGCTACACTGCGGGCCTTTAGGCAACATGGATGTAGCAACAGCCCTGTAGCTAAAAGTGGCGTAGTGCAGAAATAGTCAAACATCCTGCTTCACTCAGCCAGAAGGTATATGCAGTATCTTTAGTTTCCCTATCTGAGGGAACTAGAAGTAGCTGTGGGACTTGAATTGCCATCAGTTATGTCTAATTTAAACAAAATGTGATTTTTTTTTAAAAAAAAAGCCTGTACGCTATTACAGAACACATTTGTAATTCACCAGCTGAACTAGTGATTTGCAGTATAAAGAATTATAGCATATTCAAACATGTAAGGAGCCTTTCCAAATTTTTAGTGTATTAACAGGATGCATTCTGTGATAGTTATTCACAGTTCATTGTTTCCCCAAAAAGGATAAATGAGTTGCCAAGAAACAGCAATGACCTGTAATACATTTCAAGTTAAGTGGTGATGTAAATTGGGTCGCAAGTTGTGACATTTTCCTGTCTGAGAGAGAAAAGAAAGCGGAGTAAATAGAATCCGATTTAAGGGAAGTAAAACTGTCTGATCATTTGGTTGTGGCTGTAACCTATTTATCTGTGAAAACAAAGCAGGTTAGAAGTAAAGAAGGGGTTTTTGTGTGTGTTTTGGGCTGGGGGTGGGAGGCAGGCCTGGAGAGAAAAAAGGACAGGGTTTGAATTCAAAGTATAAACACATTCCTGGGCACTAGTTAATCTTTTTGTACCCTATCAAAAAAGTTCATTAAAAGATCAAGTGATAGGAAGGAGCTGGAGAAGAATCAAGTGTGGGAGGAGAAGTGGAAGGGATTGGTAAATGCTTCCCTGAACTGAGCTGTACCATATGACATGGTCACTGTCGGTAACTTCATTGTTATTGAGAGGAAGTCCTTTCAGTATTAGCCTATGAAAATTCTTGCAGCAAGAAATAGCTTTCATGGTGAAATGTGTCTACAGATTTTCATTTGATTGCAATATTAAAGCATCTAAAAATCCCAGAAGGTAGTAAGTTACCTTTAACAAAAACTACTCACAAATTCTAGAAATGGCACACAGTTCAGGTGTAACTCTCTTTATTTTACTGGCAATAAAAAACAGTGCTGCAAGAGGCTGAACGTCCTCAACATCTGTTGACTTAGGTGGGAGTAGAGGGTACTCCTGACCCTATCAGAAAAGGAAATGTCAACTTTTAACTGTTTAAATCAAACATTTTAGCTTTGAATATCTGAAATAAATAGTTGGTATCTGTTTACTTATAACATTTCCCCCCCCCCCCCCCTCTTACTGCAGATATGATCCTAATGTGAAAAGGAGAAGATAAATTCAAGAGAATTTACAATGAACCTACAGCAAAATCTTGATACCCTGGTTGCTGGTTCCAGTGTACAATATATATGGGAAGTCTAAATTACCTGTAAGAGTTGTTTTAAGTCCTGCTTTTATTAAAGGAAAACAGAACCAGTTTTACATTGTTGTGGCATTTAGAGAGTCCACATTTCTGGTTTCAAGACTTTAAACTCATTTGCTTTAAAGCAGTGCTATAGTACAACTTTCTAGATATTTACGGCTTCACTTCAAGCTTTCTTCTGTTGGTTTGAGATACACTTCTGCTATTACTCTATTAATAGTAATAGAATAGTAATACACTTCTGCTATTACTCTATTGTTCTGAAAAAAGACCCGGTTAATTTGTTTAGCTTTTTGTATAACAGTAATAATTTGCTGTACAATAGGGCTCAAAGCACAAATACATAAACTACATAAAACAGACATGGTGGGGGGCAGTAACCTCATTTTCTGACTCTGAATAAGTTGAGCAGTCTTCAGAACGCTGCTGCCATCCACAGACCTCTTAAGTTTCTTTGAATACATCTAATGCTGTGCACCATGTGAATAAAAAGTTAACCAGACCTGTTAACCACAAGTCAAATCATGGCTAGCAGGTTCTAGATGAGCTTTCCTTCACCTGGTGTGGAGAGAGATTTTATTCTGAGCATACTAACAACAATGCTGTTTACCAGTTGGATAACATAGGTGTCAGAATAAAATCCCTGTCTATAGTGGGCAAGAAAGTTTTAGAATTCTGCCCTCCACAATGATACTTACTGCTGTGGCTACTATTTCAAACCTAATATGGACAGAGTCATAGGTAACATTTAAAATAAAACCTTGCATCACATTAAAAGAGGCTTACAAAATTTCACTTTAAATAACAGAGCCAGTTCTGTTGCAGAAATGCATACAGGTGCTGAAGTTAAGTTACCTTAAGTTTAAGGGGAATTTGTTTGTTTGTTTTAAACCACTGTAGGTAGTTTACAGTGTTGTTGTAGCCATGAGAGGTGGGGGTGAGGTAATCTCTTTCACCAACAGAAGTTGGTCCAATAAAAGACAAGCTTTTGAGCTACACAAAGTTTTGCTTCTTTCCCAGAGTTCTGTGTAGCTCAAAACCTTGTCTCTTACCAACAGACATTGGTCCAATAAGAGAAATTCCATGTGTTAGCAAGATGGTTACTGCCACCTTGAAATGATCAATGTACGTTACAGCTGTCGTATGTAGCCAGCTATCAAACATACATTTATTTTTACATGGCAAGTAGTCAGAGGTTTTTTTTAAACACCCAGATACTGCTTTTTCGTAACAGGCTTGATCTAGATTCCAATATATAACTTTGTCAGCAATAGTCAGTGCTCTCACAAGAGTGGCAGTTATGTGATGAGCCATTATGAATACAGTATACCCTACGAGTCTGGCTCTTAGATCTCTCATTCACTGGTTGGGGTGAAGGCCTAACATAAATCCTTGACTTCTCAAATTGTTAAACAGTCTGCTGCTATTTTCAAAGTTGGTGTCTTCAAAGCTGAGGAGAGCCTGAGCTTTTCAGTATTGGCATGTACCAAATTAATAAGTGAAGTTACTGTACTGTTTTATAATGAAAATATTCATTTTAAACAAAACTTTAATGAAATCAGATCACCTCAAATATCCATTTTTAAACTTTCATCATTTGTTCTGTTCCAGTAGGAATAAGAGTTGTATCAATGAGTTTGAAATAATACAAAGAATCAAAACCTGCTTACCTATTTATTGGGACCATTTGTGTTAAGTCATCATAGGCACTAGGAATCTTTTCAAAACCCACTTCACCTCTATTTCTATAATCTCAGTAAGCACTACTAACAAATTAAAAGTATATAATGTATAGGCTCTAGTGCTTCAAGTTAAAGCACTTGTTAAGGGAACTATTCCCATGTGTAAATGTACTCATATGTGGCCGCAGTATTTGGCTTATAAAGACGACACAGCTCTTTCACATGGTGAGGAAAAAGGTACGTGATGAAATTGAGAAGGCTTTTTTTTTTTTTACACACACATCTCCATCATTCACAAATGGCTTGCACACATCTTCCTCAGGACAGATACAGCTCAAGCACGTTGAAGAGAATACTAAGAATTGCTCAACCTGCCAGTAGCTCTGCATGTTCAGGGAGCCTGATTTTACTGATTTATTTTGTGGCTGTAATGAGCATTCATCCCTTTTTCTATTCCTCTTCTGGGAAAGTTTCCTTCTGCACAGGTTACTTATCTTCGAATGAGGAGAAATGCCATTTCTTGACTCCTTGTCCAAACAGAAAGGGGCTCTGTCCAAGAAAAATAAGCAGAAGTCCTCCAAAAGCCACAAGACGACAACTTCATTCTCTGTATGGGAAGGGGGATGCTTGTGAACCAAGGAAGAGAGAGAATAATTATTCTTGACAAAGTTGAGGTGATGAAGAAAAGGTTATCAGTGGGAGCAGTGGTAGTCAGGATATCTCAGCTCTGCCCCTGACCTGCTAGGGGACCTTGGTCAAGTCCATTCATTGCTCTGTGCCTCAGTTTCCCTACCTGTGAAACAGGGCTAATGGCCCAGATTCACAAAGGCATTTAGATACCTCAGTCCAAAATTTTAGGCACCATTGGTATTCTGCAAAGGCCCCAGTCACCTGCCATCTAACCTAGTAGGAGCCTAAATGCTGACACCACATTGTGGATTGGACTCCTAACTCAAGTTGAGCTCCAAAGCAGGATTCTCAAAGCTATCTTGCTACCAGGGCCTGATCCCATAGGCTCTGAGCACACTTAAGACCTGATACCTGTCACTAAAGACAACTGGAAGCATGCATAATTCAGAGCAGGAACTTGAAGCCAGGTGAATGCCCTAACCACCAGGCTATAGGTTATTCTGAAGTGAGTCTCAATCTCTCATGTCAAGAGCTGTTCTTGTATAAATAAATATTCATTAGGTCACAGAGAGAGACTGACTATAGCCCATTGGTAAGGGCACTCACTTGGGATGTGGGAGACTCAGATTCAAGTCCCTGCTCCAATGAATATTTAATTACATATACAGTAGAACTGCTCCAATAGGAGAGAGTCCTAGCCCAGCAGTTACTCACCTGGGAAGCGGGATGTGCTCTGGAGCAGTTTTTTGAACGCAGTTCTCCCACATCCTAGGTGAGTGCTTCGATGACCAGCAGACAGTGCGTCATCAAAAAATTTCAAAACTGTTTGTGCTCTCCCCCATCCCTCCTCAGGCAGTCTAGTGCTTGTGCTGCACTTCCCCTCCACCTCTCCATGCGGTCTGGCAGGTATCTCAGGTCTTAGACATGATCGCCAGCAGGCCCTTCTCACCCACTTGCTACCACTAAGGTTTCTTGGCTGTTCTCTAGCCTTTTCATCTGCTCCCGGGACCCCATCCCATCCCACTTCTCACCCTCTTTGGCTCCATTCTCACTTTTCTTCCCTGCACAATATAAGCATCCTTTAGTCTCCATCTTAAACACCACAACCTTGACCTCACTTGCCTTTCCAATTATTGCCCAAACTCCCAAACTGAGTCAACCGCATTTTCAATCATTTCCTGAAATACCCATCTTCTACCCTCTTCATTCCACTGTCTTCTTCCTGGACAAAGGAAGCTTCTGCTCCATCTTCACTCTCCTTTTGACACTTTATGACCATCTAGTATTTGAAATCGTGTTAGCCATTGGCTTCCATGGCTCTCCTTTGCTACTATGTTTATTCCCTTCAGCATGTTGTTTGCTGGGTCTTTCTTCCCCTTCCCCTCTCTTTCAGTAGCTGTTTTCCACATATCTGTCCTTTGTGCTCCACAGCCTGGATGAAATGTCTAGGCAATCTTACCCACTTTCATAGGCTCTGACCACCATCTTTGTGCTTATGACTCAAATATGTGCCTCACTACTCAGGACCTATTCCACATCTTGGCTCAGTAGTACTCAACCAGCGGTACGTATGCCCCTGTCGGTACTCAGAGGTATTCAGGAGGTACATCAACTCATCTAGATATTTGCCTAGTTTTACAACAGGCTACATAAAAAGCATTAGTGAAGTCAGTACAAACTAAAATGTCAGAATTATTTGTTTATACTGCTCTGTACAATATACACTGAAATGTTAGTACAATATTTATATTCCAATTTTATAATTGTATGTTAGAAATGAGAAAGTGAGCAATTTTTCAGTAATAGTGTGCAGTGACACTTTGTATTTTTATATCTGATTTTGTAAGCACGTAGTTTGTAAGTGAGATGAAACTTGGGGTTATGCAAGACAAATCAGACTCTTAAAGGGGTATAGTAGTCTGGAAAGATTGAGAATCACTGTCTTGGCTGATCTGGTAACTTAAATTGAACATGGCAAAGACCGAGCTCCATTGTTCCTGCCAACATCCAAGACTTTCGACACTTCCCTCTCTGAACCCTTGTAATCAAGCTGTATTCAAATCTTGAAATTTCTGCATTTCAATATCTTTAAGAACCAACCTTTTCCTTGTTCAGATTGTCAAACCTCTTGTTTAATCTCATATCATGACTTGACTATTGGAACCACCTCCTCTCTAACTTTAACTACACCCACCTTGGGTCCATTCAGAACACTGCTGCCAAGCTGTTTCCTAGTTGATCCTGGCCCTATGTTTCAAATCCTTCCTCTGGCTCCCCTTTTTCCACTATATTGAAGACAAACATTTGGTCCTTACCTTCAAAGCCCTTATCTATGTAGGTGCTTTTGAAAATTTTACCCCTCGTCTTTCATCTCTGCCTTAACCACTCTCAAGCATCATCAACACCAACTGGCTCCACAGGCAATCAATAAGCCAAATGGAATGGGTCTTCTACTCCAGACAGAGCTAGCGCAGCCCCAGGCAGACCTGTCTGCAAGCTGACAAAAAGCTAAAGGGATTAATATTTTTCCAGAGAGAACTCAGATTCCTCTGGGATACATATTCTGTCACATCAGTGGTCACAATCTTTGCTATGCATTTTCCACATTCCTCCAAGACACAACACAGTACAAAAATAAAGGTGGATGGGACAGTAATTCTAGTAGCATATATCAGCTATGGTAGCCCTCCTTTTTGGTCTCACGGCTTCCCCTCTGACCTGGGCTTAATATTTCTCCCTCTGTCTCTAAGCTGTTATCTGACTTGAGATATTCTGGACAAATTATCTTTACATTGCACTCATCTAGAAAGAAAGTCTTGGCACAAAGAAATTTTTCTAAGGGGAGGAATAAAGAATAGCCCCAGGGATGCTGGCTACTATTCAACTGTTGCATGAAGATCTGTCCATAGGTCTCAGCTTTAACTCCTTGAAGGTGCAACTTTCTGCCCTCAGTGTTTTAAATCCAGATCTTCCTTGGCCTCTATCATCCTCAAACTTGCCAAACCTCTTAAAGCCCTTCTCACAATTTCCCCTGCAAGGACCAGAATGACATCTTCAAGACCATTACTTGGACTCCATTTGAATGCTAATGTCAACAAAGCCTTGCTTTCTCTGTCAAAACATATTTCAGTTGCCATCACTTTAGAGTCCCAGATAGTATAGGTCTTTCAAGTAAGACACTTTTTCCTCTTTCAGGAAGGCAAAACAGTTCTTAAACAGTCTCCCAGTTTTATTCCAAATGCTCCTTCTCTCCCCAGTTGAGGTAATGTGCTCCCATTTGTCAGCTCAGTTCAAAAACAGCCACAAGTAGTACCGAGAAACTCTTCCACGTTGTTTTTTGTTCTAAATACAAAGTTTAACAAGTCTTTTGCAGCTTCAGGAACCAGATGGATTCACTGTTACATAGTAGAAAATGCAAGGCTTCCAGAAATGCAGCATCCAAAGACATCTAGGCTTATTTGCATGGAGCATGGCCACATGCTGGTCAGAACTTCAGCCTTAGTAGGGAGAGCGATGTAAGGCTGCACTATAGTAGTCTCTCCACTTTTGCCAGATCTACAAACTCAGTTTGCAAGCATCTGCAGAGACCTCCTTCAGGAGGGCGATACTCCTGTCTCTGGTCCCAATTTAAACCCTCCAGGGTCATAGGGGAATCTTTCCTAGGTCATCTTTCCTACTTTCTCTCCCTATTGTTCCTCACTGCTCATTTCTTGCCATCAGTGAAGACCATCAAGAAGAATGCCAATTGTCTTTCTTCCAGTTATGATTACACTAAATCATCCTATCCAGCTGTATTCAGTTTACTTATCTTAGAGCAGGTTCCCAGTAAATAGATTCCATTTTCTCCCCTTAGGGTGACAGGTCTAAAAAAAACAAACAAAACTAATCTCAAAGCTGGGTTGAACGATTACATTTAGGATTTAAATTTTCTACAACTTCGGATGAACTCTTCTAGTGGGTTGCCAGGTGAGTAGGTCCAGCATTCCCTTCAAAGCACATGAACTGCTACTGGTCTGTAGAGAAAGAGGGTGCAATTCAGTCAGGATTAGTGGGCACAACATTTATAATGTAACACACCAACCTGTGGAACTCAGTGCCTTAGGTGAACACCTTGGTAAGATTCAAGAGAAGATTACGTATTGTAGCTGAATAAAGAATTCTGCAATTACTCTCTAGTATAAAAGCTTTAGCCACATGTCAGACCTCACGTTTCAAGTTATAAGCCAATCTGCTAGACCCCAAAAGAAACTCTCCCCATGGTTTATTATTACACAAGTGCCTTTCTTTAAACAATTACCACTGTTAAACAGGCACGTAGTAAGTGCACCATTAGTCAGGTCTGGTATGGCAATTCTGAGGTTGAACTCCAAGATACTTTCAGGGATCAAATTATTTTAAAAACTTCATGGCTATAATTTAGCCTGGCGATATACTCAGTATTGCTTTGGATTATAACCTATTTCTGAACCAAAGGCAACCATAAAAATATAAATTGCATTGCTACACAATCCAGGTTATTTTACAAATTGATAATAAAATTGCAGTTAACTAAGTCCAGGTCTTCTGAAAATACCAAATATTAGTCTGCATAATTGACAGTTGACAGCTTTTCATCGGGTGAAAAAAAGCCAGTTGCAAACATAAAACTAGCAGCTCCTAGCATAAAAGGGAAGATTTCTCAGTACTGCTTCAACCAGTAAAAAGGCTTATTTACACACTGGCGAGGTAACATTTATTCTTCAAATTCATACTGAATACTGCTGCTCTGTCCAGCCTATTGACCTGCACTCAAACCTTAGTTGAATGCTTAAGAACACTGGCAGGAATGGAAGAGATCACTGCTAACTCTTTGGGAGGTGCTGCAAACCTAGAGCAATGGATACCAATATAAGACCCTCAGTAAAAAGCTCTGCAATTAACTCTTGTCATCATATTAAGTGTTTATAATATCTAAGTAGCTGCTGCAGCTAAAGATGGGACTAGTCTGTCTTCTACATTTTTTTGCTTTTGTGATTAAGTCAGTCCCTTTGTCCCATTATTAAACTAGAAGTACATGAAAAATCAAATTTGTGCATGAATGATGGGAATGCTTTTTATAATCTGTAATGTTATTTTGTAAGTTATCTACCATAAATGTCTGAAACACCTCCAATTTTGGATTTGCCTCACCGCCATGCAAAAGTATTGCAAGTTTGTTACAAGCGCAATTAGGTTCTTTAATAAAATCTTTAGCTCATACCTAATGTATGCGACTTATGTAATAAAATCAAAATCTCTTAATTAGATAACTATGAATTAGGTATCAGTTTTAAACTATAGTTACACAAGTTCTGCTAAAATGATGGGGAAAGATTATACTTGTCTACTGTGTCTGCTTATGCAAAAAAAAAACACCAATTGAAACCAATTATTCACATAGCTCTTTGTTTTCTAGATACAAAAAGTAGTTAATAGTTTATGGAAATACTAATGAAACAAGAAATGGCTAAATTCAAATCATGTGGGCATGACTGGGAACAAAAGCAATTATTTAAAAATTTTGCCTTGTTTTATTCACATTGTTTATGCTATTGAATTTTATAAATTGCTTAAGTTTGTAAACTACACAACTAGGTTTTTAAAATGTAGATTCCTTAGCCTTCAATTGAAAATACTATGGTTTGAATGCCTGTGCCTCACTTTTCCCTCACTTCCCTTATGCAAAAGTCCAGATCCTACGTAACTATACTAACAAGCCTAAAGGTTTGCAGGATCAAGCCCCAAGTTTATTAGTAAGCACAGACAGACTGGACACTATCCAATCTATTTGTGCGTATTACTAAATTAATGCAACTCAAGAGGCACATGGTTGGGATCACAGAATATGTATATCACCCATTATACAGTCTTGAAGTATAAGTTATCAAGGGTCTTTTCTGTATTCTGTTCAGGTTCTTATATCTTGTCCATCATTGTGATCTTTTTGGGGTTCGAGCTTCATTTTATTCATGTACATAAAGGCCTTTTTAGTCCAAAACTATCATTATATACTCCACAATACACTTAAGAGCAGACACTAATGAACTGAATTAGACAACATGTCTTCTACCACATTAGATTTGAGTTAAAGTGCCTGGTAATGGATTAAACTAAAACTGAACACCTATCCAAAGAGGGTACACATGAGTACTTAACTAGTTCTGAAAATGATTATTTAGAAACTTTCAGTTTATTGTTTGCCCCAGCTACAGTGAGTAACGTTGGGTTGTGTCTACAGTAGTTTATCTAAATACTTGGGCTTGAGACTCTAGGTCAGGGGTGGGTAAACTTTTTGGCCTGAGTGCCACATTGGGGTTACGAAAATGTATGGAGGGCTGTGCCTACCCAAAAGCCTTGTCCCACCCCCTATCTGCCCCCTGCCCCTGAATGCCCCCCTCAGAACCCCCGACCCATCTAACCCCTCCTGCTCCTTGTCCCCTGACCGCCCCCTCCCGGGATCCCTGCCCCTAACCACCCCATGGGACCCCACCCCGCTGCTCCCTGTCCCCTAACTGCCCCGAACCCTATCCACACCCCCACCCCCAAACAGGCCCCCCGGGACTCCCACGCCCTATCCAACCTGGCCCTGTTCCCCGTCCCCTGACCACCACCCCCTGAACCTCCACCCATCCAACTGCCCTGTCTCCTGACTGCCCCAACCCCTATCCACCTCCTCAGGACGCCCCCTGCTCCCTGACTGCCCCCGGGACCCCTTTCCCTTATCCAACTCCCCCGCTCCCTGTCCCCTTACCATGCTGCTCAGAGCAGCAGGAGCTCACAGCCCTGCCGCCCAGCCGGAGCCAGCCACGCTGCCCAACAAGAGCGGCAGGCCAGAGCACTCATGGCACGGCACGCTGAGGCTGCAGGGGAAAGGCCAGGGGCTAGTCTCCCCGGCCGGGAGCTGAAGGGCTGGGCAGGAGGGTCCCATGGGCCATAGTTTGCCCACCTCTGCTCTAGGTGTCACCTTAGAGAGACCAGAAGTGTGAAATTTAGTATGTGCCCATTTGCAATCTTGAGTTTGCATCCTTGTCACTCCCATAAGCAGAGAATGATGATTTTCCAAGAACATTTCTATACAGGCTCAGTCATTTGTGTATGGTGACAGTTTTAGACCATGGCTTTTAAAAAAGAAATATGAGTGGTTAGAGACATCCTAGTTGTAATGTTAAGCATTACCTTAGAAAAGAGCAGGAGCCAGTGCTTGGACTTAGTAAGGGAAGATGGGAGTGTCTGCTCTCTATCTCCACCTGATAAGAGATCCTATTCAGTCTTCTTTAGCGGTATTGTGAGAAAAATTGTTTACAGGTTTTACAGTTACTTCTCAACAATATTTCCTTTTCAAACAGATTTTTTTTCAAAAGTAAATTAGGTATTCACTATCTTGACACTGTCGTAAGAGCACTTACATCAGCACTTTATTATTTTACTGTAAACCAGAATATTCTTGGAAAGTTACATAGCAGTGTAATAGAGAATAGATCTCTATAAAATCCCTATATTATGGTCCTTATGCACTTATGGAAGTGTAGGCATACACTTGACAAAAACATTAGTGGATTGTCAAATTAGCAACTAAGCTTAAAGGAATGCTGTTCTCTCTTTTATCCCAGTACCAAATTATGATGGATCTGGTTTAACTGTTAAGCCAATGTTTTTCTACTTGTAGAAATCCTCTTCATTTCTTGTAAAGACTGCTTTACTAAGGGCTAAATAAACGTTTATACAAATGCCAGTATTACTATGGCAAAATAAATATAATCCTTGTTCAAAATACACACACTTGCTTTGAGACCAAAGATCATCACAAGGAAAGCTTTCTGCTCTTACAACTTAACTTTGATTTATACTTTCACGATAAGTATATTTTGTGTGGTGAAATACTAAGAAGAAAAGGCAGTGCTAGGGCAGACGTTCTCTTTCCAGAGCGTAAGTGTGCTCTTTCCTTGGAGCAAGAGACCACAGGCAAGTCAATGTAAGTTAGTCTCATTTGCTGTCTATCTGGAAGAAATTCCAGTTGGGGGACAGAGCACTTAAAACAGCAGACCACACTTCCGTCTTTTGAAAGGGGTGAAGTAGTGTAGTGTCAGCATCCTCTACCAGGCAATACAAGCATGACTTGTATACATAACAAAAAAGAGGCTACTAATGAATTTAGCTGTCAATGTGTTGCTTGTTAGAGTATGCCTGCAATTCCATATATGAAAGTTTATATGACCGCATGTTTTAGGGGACCCCATCCCCACCGCCGCCTCTTTCAACAATTAGTTGATGTTTCTTCTTTTGTCTTGTAGCCAAACATCGTGCAATGCCCAGTGCACCTCCTTTTAAAAACCGTACAAAATTGTCTCCAACCAGTGGGCCTAATGCAAAAAGATTGGCTTCCTTAGTGCACTCGTAAGTATATGGATCAATCTCAATAGGATTACCCTTGCATGTGATTGGCTGGTTTGGGCTATGACCTATCCCCTGACCATGGTCCTTTAGAAAGAACAAATTAGGGTGAGAACCTATCAGTACTAAGGCTACGGAGAACTTGAAGATTTTCTTCAATCCAGAGGCACTCTGTAGGACACATTTCATGTCTGGCTTGAAGGAAAGTACACGGTGCTCAGGAAAACTGGTGTAAGCAGAATGCAGATTAGAGTCCACAGCATGTGACTGAGTACACATCATATGATAGACCTTATGGTATTCAGGATAAAGCTTTTTAGGCAGCTGTTTGAAAATTAAACTTGGATCAGTAACCCTTCTACGAAAAACATGAATTACAGGGATGTTATTGTTGTAAGCACACAGTACTGCGTCAGCTGCTGAGAGTCCAGCACCCACGATTAAGACAGGGTCTACTTTCCCACGTAGTTTTCCTTTGCTGATGGCAGCTCCAAAGTCAGACATGGAATGAAACACAAAAGGAAATTCTTCTCCTTCAACCTGTAGTCGGCCAGGAGAATCAAAAGTTCCAGTCGCAAGAGCCACATTCTCAGCAAAGAGGCAGAAGGGCACCTGAGAGCCATCTGTTGTTCTCTGATAACCTCTGACTTCCCAATTTCTCTTGATCAGTGATGACTGTACATCTTCCTTTTCCATTTGCAAATGCTGTGTTGAAATATCTTCACTCGCTTGGCTTTCATCTTCGTCATCCTGTTCTCGGTAAAGTCTTGAAACAGATGTTATGTAAGCATTGTCTCTGAAGTTCTTCTGGAGGCCCATGACTTTAACATACTGTTTATAATAACAAGCTATTTCTTCTGGCATAACTCTGTCACTCTTTATACTTCTGAAACAAAAACAAAAGGCTTCCAGTTAACATTTATGCTCCAATGGATGGGTCAAACATCACATTTGAAATATTGAATGTACACATTCAAATTTAAGCAGGATTGACTCAGACCTTCACTCTCAACATAACTACACTGAGTTCAATATGTTTTATTGTATGGAGTTTGAAGACAAGACTGTAAACTGCTCTTTTGATGTCTGAGAGACAAGTGGGTGAGGTAATATCTTTTATTAGACTCACTTCTGTTGGTGAGAGAGACAAGCTCTTGAGCTATACAGAGCTCGTCTTCATGTCTAGGAAAGGTACTGAGAGTGTCACAGCTAAATACAAAGGCTTCTCTACACTGGCACGCTAGATCAGCACTGGTGTGATCGATGCAGCGACATCAATTTAATGGGTCTGGTGAAGACACAATAAGTCAATGGTAGAGCGCTCTCCCATTGACTTCAGTACTCTACCTCCCCGAAAGGCAAGTCAGCAGGAGAGCATCTCCCGCTGACATAGCACGGTGTAGATACCGCGTTGGGTCAACGTAAGCTACGTCATGCAGAGGGGTGATTTTTTCTCACCCCCGAGGGACGTAACTTACAATGACTTAAGTGGCAATGCAGACCAGTCTCAAGACTGAACAGATACTTTAGCATAAGTAGTTAACACATATTCTAAGGGACTATTCAATGTGAAGTTGTCTGTTAACACCCCTGTAGTCATAGGACGAAAAGGGGAATTAGTGGGTTACACATTGTTGTAAAAAGCTATAAATCCAGTGTCTTTACTGAGAACAGGATTTTTAGTGTCTAGCAAAATTATGAATTTAACCTCCCAGGATCATCTTTTGAAAGTGTTGTAGAGGTTTCCTTTGAGGATGCAGGCTGACAGGTCAGACAGAGTGATCAACTTGTGAAATGTGTTCACGCACAGATGACAGGGTAGTTTTATCATTTTCCTGTGAGAGTTCATTCGAGAGTGTAGTGATTGTCTGGTTTCACCCACATGGTTGTTATTGAGGCATTGACTGCACTGGATGATGTATACCACCCATGATATGCATGTGTAGGACCCATGGATCTTGAAAGGTGTGTTGTGGGGGGTGTTGATAATTGTAGCCGTGGAAATATTTCTTCCTCACCCACCTTCTCTCTCTCTCTCTCTCTCTAATATCCTGGGACTGACATGGCTACAACAACACTGCATACAACTTTTGATTTCTGGTATACAAGACAAGTCAAGTTTGAAGAAAATTAGTTCTTTAATTTTAAAGATGGTCAGCAACTTGAAATTTTCATGGCTTTTTTTGAGTAAATTAAAAATTAGTCATTAGATCATCTGAAACAAGAGAACAGCAAACTCAGTTCATAATTTTTAACATCACTGAAATGATTGTCTTCCAACTTGGTACGTTTTGTAGATCTCATTAAGACTTCAAATCAAATTTGAAGGCTGTGCTATAAAACTATATAAATTCCAGTTTGTTATATGTTAAGACAATTTATAAGATTACATTTTAAAGCCTAAATACCAGATGTCAGAGCTGGGTAAGCTTTCAACCTAAACTCTGACTTGAGCACCTGATTTCTCAACCCTAACTGTGCATTAAGGGTAGTGTTTTGCATAAAATATATAAAGAACATAAGACCATAAGAATGGCCATATTGGGTCAGATCAAAGGTTCATCCACACCCAGTATCCTGTCTACTGACAGTGGCCAATGCCAGGTGCCCCAGAGGGAGTGAACCTAACAGGTAATGATCAAGTGATCTCTCTCCTGCCATCCATCTCCACCCTCTGACAAACAGAGACTAGGGACACCATTCCTTATCCATCCTGGCTAATAGCCATTAATGGACTTAACCTCCATGAATTTATCCAGTTCTCTTTTAAACCCTGTTATAGTCCTAGCCTTCACAACCTCCTCAGGCAAGGAGTTCCACAGGTTGACTGTGCGCTAAGTGAAGAAGAACTTCCTTTTATTTGTTTTAAACCTGCTGCCCATTAATTTCATTTGGTGGCCTCTAGTTCTTTTATTATGGGAACAAGTAAAACTTTTCCTTATTCATTTTCTCCACATCACTCATGACTTTATATACCTCTATCATATCCCCCCTTAGTCTCCTCTTTTCCAAGATGAAAAGTCCTAGCCTCTTTAATCTCTCCTCATATGGGACCTGTTCCAAACCCCTAATCATTTTAGTTGCCCCTTTCTGAACCTTTTCTAATGCCAGTATAACTTTTTTGAGATGAGGGGACCACATCTGTATACAGTATTCAAGATGTGGGCATACCATGGATTTATATAAGGGCGTTGACATCTTCAGAGAACTATTCACGATGACTCCAAGAACTTTCTCTTGATTAATTGTAGCTAAATTAGCCCCCATCATATTGTATGTATAGTTGGGGTTATTTTTTCCAATGTGCATTACTTTACATTTATCCACATTAAATTTCATTTGCCATTTTGTTGCCCAATCACTTAGTTTTGTGAGATCTTTTTGAAGTTCTTCACAGTCTGCTTTTGTCATATTTATTTATTTATTTATTTATTTATTTTCCACGTTTATTTAAATTGAGAGATTTTGATTTAACTAAGAACGTAATGGCTCAGGCCAAAAGCTGCATTTTTCTCTGCGCAGTGTTGAGCTCTCAGTCAGTGTAACATAATCCTGCACTTACCCCACTGGTAAAAGTTCTTAAAACTAGTGCACTACGAAAGGGTTAATTTTATCTCCTCATAGTGTCGTACAAACACTAACCAATCCTTACAACACCTGCAGTAGGTAGGAAGGCAAGTATTAGCTCAATTTTATGAGGAAATTGACATTGTTACTCAGTGTGGGGCTATGTAAGTCAGGGGCAGAGCTGAGGTTAGAACTCAAGAACTGTGGACTCATAGGCTACACTTGCACACCAATCTGTCTCAGATTATTTGGTTTCTAGGACTAACTTCTCCCTCATCCAAGAAAAAGTATTCAGGTATCTTTATGAAGGCTCTCTTAGGATCCATGTATATAGTTAATTACAAGGGAAAGAAAAAAAAACCCGAACACCTACACTAGAAGAACTTTAAAGTTGCAATCTCAAGCATACAAAAGTTAAAAATGCCAAAAATAAGGTTTCTCAAGCAACCATAATTTGTCATCTTCTGCATCTGCATGATGTAATTAAAGATTCTATTATCTTATTTTTTCCACACAACCACTGCCTCACTCAGTATACAAGATGAATGGTGCTCATTGAATGGCAATTGTTCAATATTTCTTTTTAATCTTCCTCATTCTGTGTGAACCCAACCTTTTGCTGCTGTTTTTAATAATTAGGGCCCTACCAAAGTCACAGTACATTTTGGTCAATTTCACAGTCATAAGATTTTTAAAATAGTAAATTTAATGATTTCAACTATTTAAATCTGAAATTTCACAGTGTTATAATTATAGGGGTCCAGACTCAAAAAGGAGTTGTGGGGGGAGGGGTTGCAAGGTTATTGTGGGAGGGGTTGTGGTACTACTACCCTTACTTCTGCGCTTCTTCAGAGCAGGGCAAATGGAAAGCGGCGGCAGCTGGCTGGGAACTCTGAAGGCAGAGCTGCCGCCAGCAGCAACACAGAAGTAAGGATGGCATGGTATGGTATTGCCACCCTTACTTCTGTGCTGCTCAGTCAGCAGCTGCCGCTCTCTGACCACCCAGCTGTGAAGGCAGCAGCACAGAAGTAAGGGTGGCATGGTATGCTATTGCCACACTTACTTCTGCGCAGCTGCTGGCGTGGCACTGCCTTCAGAAGTGGGCACCCAGCCAACAGTCGCCACTCTCCAGCTGCCCAGCAGTGCCACGATCCCCCCTAAAATAACCTGTGACTCCCCTGCAACTGCCTTTTTGGTCAGGACCCTCAATTTGAGAAATTCTGGTCTCCAACGTGAAATTGGTATAGTGTAAGGTTAAAGCACACAAAAGACCAGATTTCATGGGGGGAGACCAGATTTCAAGGTCCGTGATGCGTTTTTTGTGGCCGTGAATTTGGTAGGGCCCTATCTATCTTACGGTGTATTAAATTCAAGCTTCTCAGCCTCACCTATTAGCCCCCACCAAAGTTTTCCCCCCACCTACATAGCTGATCTAATTTCTCTTGGTATCCCCTTCCCCTACCATTCCCTCTTCTGCTTCTTATGCTCTTTCCAACTCTTAGTCCTACGTTCAGTTCTTATTCCCACTCTTTTGTGCTCTTTCATGCTGCCTTCTATAACTATAAGTCTCCTTTTCCTCATCACTCTCTTTCTTCAAATCTTTCCTTAAAACCTCTTCAAACAGATTTATCATCACAATTAATAATTCTTACATGTTCTATCTATGAGCCCAATCCTGAAAACACAACTGTGCAGTGTTTATTCCCATGAGTAACTGCATTGATTTCATAGTAGTAAGCACTTTAACACAGTAGCACTTGTAGGACTTGTTTATAAGCATAGCATGAATTAAGTGTGCTAGAAAGTGCTCTTTAATTAAAAAACAAGGCTGTAGATGTTGTTTAAGATAGTACTATATTAAGGTTCAATTTTTAAGATGAGGATTTTAAACAGCACAGTGTAACTTCTCCAAATACTATATGAATCACTTAAGCATTGGGATGATTGATGCTTCAGAAATGTCTACAAAATCCAATCCATTTTTTAAATATATCATTTGGCTCATATTTTATAATGGGCACTAGTAACTAATATATTTGTTTGGAACAACTGCTCAGATCCACTTTAAAGTGCCCTGAAATTCCATTATGTAAACTTCTGAGACAAAGAGAGGTTTAAAAGAAAAATACAAGAGTGACTAATTTCATTTTTGGCATAATAGCAGGAGAAAACAAGTGCACTTGTTAAAAACTTTCAGTCAGAGACCTTGAATAACAAGATTAAATACAAAGCAAGTTTACCAATTTGCTTTATGTACACAAGTTTATAATGAAAAAAATTTTCAGGCGAAACTATAATGACCAGTTTCCACTTTGTTAAATAAAGTGTACTATTGTCTAAGGCACTCAAGGAAGGAGAAGTGCCACTGTAATTATTAAAACTATTATCTAGCAGTTGTTAATTTTTTTAAAAAAATGTTCTATTTACTGCAGTCACATTTTCTGCATCTATCACTTTAAAAAACTTAAGTGTCTTTACCTGCGTTTACTAGCTGCCCAATCCTTAAACTTCAGTCCTGGTAACTCCATCCAGTCTCCAAAACTGATTGTCAATATAGAATCTTCCATAGTCTACGGGAGGGGGGAAAAAATCCAACTAAATGAATCAGGTAAATTTTAATAATTTTTTTATATGAATACATTTATTCTAAACATTATTAAAGTGGTTCCACTGCACTTATCCAGAAATAAAAAGGATGATGATGTATCAGTACGTGGACTGCAAATAAAACAAGATTTCATATTACAATTAGGAAATAAAGTATGCAGTCTGATCATGGGGTGATAAACTTTGATAAATTTAATGGAGAAAAGCAGACGAATTACAGATGAGGAAAGTATACCTGGAAAGGAAAATAAAAGCAACGTATTGCAAGCATGGAATAAAAGTAAGAAAAACAACAAGTGCTGGGAGGCCAATAAAATATGGAAAACAAAGTCCTAAATCTTTAGGTAAGTAGTGCCTGTTATCCACAAGCAAAGGACAGGTGGAAAACAAAAGGGGGGTGGTAGAGAGCACCACTACAATATATCACATGTTCAAAACTTTAATGACTAAGACAATTAACAGGCTCAATACAGTGGATAAGGTCAGAAGTCCCACAGTTAAGGGGAAATTTGGGTTCCTAACGATGAGGGAAACTGGATTACAAACTGTAAACCTCATCCTACTCCCATCAAAATCAACAGAAAAAAAACTTTCAATGGGTGCTAATCAGACTCTGTACAGGATATACATACAAGGAAAAAAATATTACAGCAAAAAAAATCAACAGAAAATAATGGCCAAGTATAAAAAGGGATCCTATTACCTAAAAGGGTGGAGCATTAGATGTGTTGAACATGATAAGATTCAGAAGAAACTGTGGAAATACAGAGGACTAGCAGAGAAGCCTCTGTTTCCCCTCCCACCATTTATCTATCTTGCATATTAAGGTTGTAAGCGCCTTGGGGGTAGAGCTTGTCTTTTACTATGTGTTTGTACAATGCGTAGCACGCTGGGGCCCTCAACATCAGATGGGGCTTCTAGATGCTACTGTAATACAAATACTAAAAAATAAGAAACCTCTCAGATAAACAGAATGAGATAAAAATCAGTTCTACATGGCAATCTTATAGAATGACATTGGAAGATGGACTCTCCCTTCTGCGTACTCGAGAGAGATCAGCTTCAGAGCATTACTCAGTTGGAAAAGTGTTCTACATATATTTTTATTTGCCCCATTGAAGAAAGTGTATTGCATGGCTCTGGGAAGCAAAATCATCTTTTTAGTGTCTAACCTGCACAATCCTTAATCAGGAAGTGTGCAAGGACTCAATGTGTTTTAGAATGGAGGAACAGTGGAGAAATATATGCAATGAATTTATGAGACAGATGTGGCTTGGCCGTTATTATGGATAAATATACGGATACATCAAAACGGGGTAGAAACAGCAACTTTTATAATGTTAGGATGCGAGAAAGGTGTTGCAAAACTGTTTAAGGATGTCCCTGAAAAAACAAGCACCTTGTCTTCCCTTTCAACTGCACTGCTCCTCCTACATACATACTATTGCCAAGGGTTACCATTTTGTAAGATCATTTTCAACAGTTATTTCCACTTTATTTACAAAAATAAGATCATGAAAGTTGAAATTAATTCAAGTGGTGGCTAATGAAGATAAGTGAGTCCACATTTAGGCGTAATAACCTTTTGCACTTCTACAGTGCCCTCCATAAAAGGATGAGTGTTTTGAGAAACAGATCCCTAATAAGCAAAGAAGAAACAATGTAAGGCACTACCATCATTAGAGTTTAGATCAGAGGTGGGCAAACTATGGCCCACGGGATGCTCCTGCCCAGCCCCTGAGCTCCTGGCCCGGGAGGCTCGTCCCCGGCCCCTCCCCTCCCCCTGTTGTTCAAGGCACTGGTTCACACCATTTGATGTCCTGTCCCAGCTTGAGCCAATCCCTGATGCTTAAGAGGGGGCAAACAAAAAAACCAGCCCCAACCCAGAATATTTAATTTGGCTAACTGTGCATTAGGGGGGGAAAATTCCCTCCTGATCCCTGCAGGTGAATGACTGAAGCCAGGGACTTGATTATACTCAGTCTTAATATAGAGCTGTAAATATTATGAGCATATTAAGGGCAATGCAGAGCTCCCGTTCTCCCTATGGCCCATGAAGGGAGAGAATGAAAAGAAGGATTCAGACTCCAATACCAGAAGGAACCACCACAACCGTCCAGGCCGACCCCCTGCATACTTAGGCCATAGAATTCCTCCCAGAAGATGGATTAAAGCATGTATTTTAGAAAGATATCTAATCTCATTTTAAAGACTTCAAGCAATCCTGAGTCCACCACCTTCCCAGTAAGATGTCCTGATATTCAAACACTTTTACTGCCAGGAAAATGCATCTTATTTCAACACTGAATCTGTCTAATTAAAACTTCCAGCCATTGGATCTTTGTTATGCCTTAGTCAGCAAGTTTGAAAAGCCTCCCACATTATTAGATACATTTTCCACACATAAGTACCTAGACAGAGTGAGATAAGATGAATAGGTTGAACACCTTTAACTTTATATCCTAAATCTCACTTTCTAGTCCCTGGATTATTTTTGTGGCCCTTCTTTGAACTCTTTCCAGTATTTCCACATCCTTCTTGAAGCGCAGACACCAGAATTAACCAATGCTGTGCACAAAGGCAAGAACGCTTCCCTTTTTCTACTTGATAGCCCCCTTTTTATACGTCCAAAAATCACATTAGCCCTTTTCACCAGAGCATTTTACTGAGATCTCATATTGAGGCGATTATCTACAATGACCCTCATAAAAGCTTTTCCAAGTCACTGCTTTCCAAGACACAGTCTCCCATCCTCTGGGCATAGCCTGCATTCTTTGTTCCCAGGTGTAGTACCTTGTAGTACCTTAAAATAAAATATATTTTATTGGATTGTGACTATTTAACCAGGCAATTCAGCTCACTCTGTAACAGTAACATGCCCTTCTCATTATTTAGTACTCCACTAATGTGTGTGTCTTCTGCAAACCTAACCGCCAAAGATTTTATATCATCGTTTAGATCACTGATAAAATATTAGATAGCTATGAACTAAGAACAGTTCCCTGGAGAACCTGGTTAGAAACAGGATCCATCACTGATGACTCCAATAAAAACTACACATTGAGATTTATCAGTGAGCCAGTTTGTAATCCATCTAATGTGTGTCCTGTTAGTTTCATATCATGCATATTTTTAAATCAAAATGTCACATGGATTTCTCCAAGGCATTTGACTTAATACCAAGTATACTATATCAACACATTTGCCTTTATCAACAAGACCTGTAATCTTGTTTAAAAAAAAAAAAAAGACAACAGGTTTGTTTGGCAAGATCTACCTTCCATAAAACCATGCTGACCGGCATGAATTATATTTTTAACTTCAAATTCTTTGTTAACCATTCCATGATTTTAGCTGTGATCACAAGATCACCTTGGGTGGAGAGAGTACTGAATTGATGGTTGGTGGTGTGCACACATGCATGAAATTTGCTATGTTGCTTAGACACAAGAACACCATCGCATCCCTGAATGTAAACAGATTAATTAGTTAATGGGTTCTACAGTATCCTAAAAAAAATGAGGTGAGATATGGAAAAGAGTCTTAATAAAATAAAAGTTATCAAGCCATATTTACTAGCAAAATAATATAGCCAGCAGGCAAGTTCCCTGTTGAACTAAAGTTGAGCATTTCTTGTTCCTCTTCTGTTAAAATTTGCTTCCTGGCACAGAATTCAGAATAAACAGAGTGCTACAAGTCTGATAATGAACAGGTTACCACAATCAATGATAACGAAATATCAGCCCATCAATTTTATCTGCCCTGAGCAATTAGGTTGCTGCTAGCAGTAGTTCCTAAACTGTGATCTGTGGACACAAGTGGTCTGGAGCTGCTTGTGGTTTATGAAGAGCTGGCTGTTTGCATGGGCTGACGCTCTTATTGTTTCTAGCTGCTAAACTGCATTACAGAGATAGAAAAAATATATATGAAATACATGTAAAAGTAATGTTAGTAAAATAAGAAATTGCTATAGCTGACCTAGGAATGTTTTGCAATTGCTAGCGGAAGAGGAAGTGGGTCATATCACAGCACGTGAGCAGGGAAGTGGTCAGCAAGACATTTACTCTATTAGTGATCTAGGTTATAAAAAGTTTTGATGATCTCTCTAACAGATATGACAAACATAGGTATATGTTTGAGAGTACTGTATCAAATTTATAAATGTTATCTATACCTCTGTAAGCCAGACAATGCATGCTGGCTGGCTGGGGAGGGTTACCAAGCTCTATCTAGGGCAGGGGTGAGCTAAGTATGGCCTGTGAGCTGCATCCGGGCCGCCAGCCATTTTAATCTGGTCTCAAGCTCCCGCTGGGAAGCAGGGTCTGGGGCTTGCCTCGCTTCGATCAGGGTTGGGACTGCTCCGCACGGCTCCCGGAAGCGGCAGCATGTCCCCTCTCCAGCTCCTATGTGTAGGGGCAGCCAGGGGCCCTCCACTCAGCAAGCTGCCCCCCCCCCCAGCACTGCCCCCGCAGCGCCCATTGGCTGGGAACCGGGGCCAATGGGAGCTGCAGGGTCAGTGCCTGCAGACAGGACAGCACGCAGCAGATCTGCCTGGCTGCGCCTCCAAGTAGGAGTCAGAGGGGGGACATGCCACTGCTTCCGGGAACCACCTGAGATAAGCGCCGCCAGGAGCCTGTACTCCCGAGCTCCCCCCATGCACCCCAACCCTCTGCCCCAGCCCTGATCCCCCTCCCGCCCTTCGAACCCCTGGGTCCCAGCCCAGAGCACCCTCCTGCACCCCAAACGCCTTATCCTCAGCCCCACCCCAGAGCCCGCACCCCCAGCCAGAGCCCTCACCCCACCCCCCATGCGCAACCACCTACCCCAGCCCGGAGCCCCCTCCCGCACCCTGAACTCCTCATTTCTGGCCCCACCCCAGAGCACGCACCCCCAGCCGGAGCTCTTACCCCCTCCTGCACCCCAACCCCAATTTCAGGAGCATTCATGGACTGCCATACAATTTCCATACCAAAAAGCCCATCCCTGATCTAGGAACTAGAATCAAGGTGAGGGGGAATTACTGCAGATCCTGGGACAGGTAAATAAATCAAGAGAAGTACCACCCCGTGGGGTGAATTGCATATACTGATACAGATCAGGTTCAAGAGATCCAGGAAACAAAGAAAGACCTTGTGGTATAAAAAGCCAGCATGAACTGACTGGGGGAAGGGGTGCATTTTGATCCAGCAAACTGATGTGACTTTTTAACCAAGAGGGGAAAAAACTCCGCTGAAGGGTTTGAAGAACTGATAAGGTCTCTACAGAAAAGATGAGAGATACCTAGTAAGCTGAAGCACGCATTTAGACTTTTTGTTGCTTAGGATAGGTTTTCTCTGTAATGCTTCTGTCCTAAAAATAAACATACTGTGCTCTGCATAAGGCTGTTTGGTCACTGGTGAACCAGTGTCTTCACCCTTGAGAGAGCAAGTGTGAAACTGCAGATGCTCAGCTGGGTCAGACCTGCTGGGATAATCACTGAATTGCCAGGGGCTTCAATCTAAAGCCCTGGTCTGGAGGGTGTAGCCAGCCAGCCCCCCCGCTCAGACCAGCATTGCTGGAAACACAGGAGGAAGCCGGAACAGGGCACTTAACATATATTCCAGCACAGCCTTTGAAGCTGTGAAAGCACAGGTGTGCTGCTACAATGTGCCTCTGGGAACAGATACGACAATTAAGCTCACAGCAGGCAGAGGCCCTGTGACAGACATGGCTCTTAGCCCCTACTAAATAGCGTGATGCACACACACCAACATCCTAGGTGGGAAAATATTTACCCTGATAAAAGAAATGTCCAGTAGTCGAAACTTATTGTTTCTCTCCCTTGCAAGTGTAAACTACTCTTGCGAAAGCTGGCGTCACCCCGACAGACCAGCCCCAATTTGGCATAAGAAAGGAGAAAGAGAATAAAGGAGTACAGAGGTATAAGTAGGGGACCTACAGCACCATGATTTTTGAGTGCTTTTCACTATCTATCTGCTGGTCAGATAAGTGACAGCCTCCCAAGGCTTCTGCAGCTAAGAGGGTCCCTACGCCTTGTCCCTTATTCGTCTTTCCGCGGAATTGAGTGACCGATCCTGGCTTGGCACCGCTGGAATCGAGAGATGCAAGGAGGGTAAGAAGCACCCACACCTGATCTCCTATCTTTAGTGTACACATATTTTGAATTAGAGCTCTATACTTTGTTTTCTTTCTTTGGGATTGTGGCTTCAGTTTTGTAACTTGTTTGTGTGTGTAACATCTCTACATTTAAATAAGTAGGCACTAGCAATTTTGTAACCACATGATTAGAATCTAGCTTAATAAATTTTGGTAACCATTTGTGCATAAGCCTGACTTGTTTTCTCTGGTTTACTGTAAAGCAGCCAACACAATTAAAGAACCTCAGCCGTTTTGGCTCTAAAGCCTGGCCATTAGGTGAGAGTACTAAGAGCCTAGCGTTGAGTTGTGCCGCCTCCACGGGGCAAACTCTTGGGGCACCTGTCAGTCAATCCTGGCTGCCCGCTGCGAAGGAGCTCTGAGCTCTAGCAGTTAAAGTCACGGGTGGTTAGGACCTTGGGGCATCCGTCAGCCTAGCCCGGGCTGCCCGCCGCGAAGGGACAGTGCGTCCTAGCGGTTAAAGTCACGGATGGTATAAACGGGCATAGCTGGCACCTCACCAAACATCCTTGGCCGTCAGCTAACAGAGGGAGAGGAATGTAGGGCCCTGCCCAGAGAGAGGTGACTGTTAGAGGTCCAGCACCTAAGGGGGCATTCCTTGAGCAGATCACCGAGGGGGCCAGAGGTGCAGCTACCTGAAATTATGACAGTGGTAGTGGAACAAGCATCAGCCACAGCCTTGTCTTTAGGTAGCCTATATTGCTTCTTCCATCTGCTGCAGTCCTTGCCATCTACTGATGACTAAGGCTGTGACTTTGTCAGGGAGGTCACGGATTCCTTGACTTTCCGTTTCCTTTATGATTTCTGAAGCAGTTGGGGCTGCCTGAGCAGCTCCTGGGCCAATCACACTGACTGCTGCTGGGGCAATCTCAGGCCATACCACCCCCACAGCAGCAGCAGGAGGAGTGTGGGAGGGGGTTCAGGGTGGCACTTACCTTGGGGGAGCTCCCTGGAAGCAGCAACATGTCCCTCCCTCAACTGGTAGCTCTGCGCGCTGCCTCCGCCCACAGGCACCGCCCCCACAGCTTCCATTGGCCGCAGTTCCCAGACAATGGGGGCTGCGGAGCTGGCAGCACGTGGAGCTAGGAGCGTAGGGAGGGACAGATCGCTGCTTTTGAGAAGCTGGGTAGGAAACCTGCCAGCCCTGCCAACCCTCCTCCCCCTGCCCCCAGCACTAGCTCCTCTGATCACCCCCTGTGCACTCGTGGTGCCCCATGCTGCCACCCCAGCCAACGCTTCCCAGGCTGCCCCCCCCCATGCAAACCCCTGGGCCACCCACTCTGAACTGCCCTTCTCCCCACCCCCCAGCATCCACAGCCCCCCAAGTGCATCTACAGCACGCCCAAGATTTAGTCAGGAGTATAGTACAAGTCATAGGTAGGTCATGGTCTGTGAATTTTTGTTTACTGCCCATGACCGGTCCATGACTTTTATTAAAAATACCCGAGACTAAAATGTAGCCTTACTGATGACACAGAAAGCATCCTCCATAAAAGCTAGGGCTGCCCTTTACAGTAGGCGTTTTCAAAGATCCTCATAACAGCTTTTTTTTTAACTGTTAAACATAAAAAAATTAAAAAGTCCAAGACTAATCTACTGTGTCATGGACATGAAGTATAGTGAATCAAAACTGAATTCTAATAATGCATAAAGAGGATTCTGTTAAGACTGAAAACTAAAAGGACAGTTTCACTTTCTGATTCTAATATATTAGTACCATGCTGTTTGGGTTCACAAAGCTACAAGGACATGGATACATTAAAATCCATTTGATATGTTTACCATTTGAAAAAAAAACCCCAACACCACTTGCCTTTTCTAACAGTTAAAAATAACCAGCAACCACCAAACATGGGATTTAACCTAAAAGGATTATATCCTTTTAAAATTACAGAATTTTTTTTGTAAATTACTCGTCTATTACAAGACGCAGACAGAATACAGAATCCCGGGATATTGGTAGTAAAATTTGGAATCAGACTTGCAACAGTTAGGTCAGCAATGTAGTTGTTTTTTATTAATCAAAATGCTGTATGTAGTCTGGCAGTGAAGCATAAAAATATGGAAACATACTAGGAACACTTCCATTTTAATACGTTCACACGCAGGCGTAATGGGGCCTGTAGAGCTGCTGTGTACCTGCAACAAAACCTCTCAAATGCTCTCATTTCAGTCTCAAATGTATCTATGTTCCACAAAAATGTAGCGTCCCCTAACTTTTACTGCTGGCCATTATTTACATCAAAAAAAAAAAAAAGAATCATGAAACTGAAGTAACAGAGTTATTTATGCTAGCAAATGAATCCCGCAGCATTTTAAATTTCTTGAATATATTTTAGGCCTTCATTTTCGGTCTTGTCAAAGAATTCGGGCTTTGGATGGGTCAAAAGGCTGAAGCTGCAATTCCCATTAACATCTACATACCAACCCCATCCTAAGAAAACCCTCAAATACAAACCCATCAAGTTAGAGGAATATAAATGAAAAGTATCAGAGGGGTAGCTGTGTTAGTCTGTATCCACAAAAACAATGAGGAGTCCGGTGGCAACTTAAAGAATAACAGATTTCTTTGGGCATAAGCTTTCATGGGTAAAAAACCCACTTCTTCAGATGCATGGCAGATGCATCTGAAGAAGTGGGTTTTTTACCCATGAAAGCTTATGCCCGTATAAATGAAAAGTTTACTCACATGCCAAGCTCCACCAGGCGGTCCTTTGCCAAGCACTATATGTGGGATATAATGATGCTGTTCTAGCTTCCAGTGCAGAACAGGTGGGTAATCATAGCCAAAGTCAGCATCTGGATGAAGCAGTGTATCAAAAAGTACTGCAACTGGATTGGAAGAACGTCCTTCAAGACCTTCTGACAAATATTCTAAATCCTATATTAAGAAGAAAGATTTCCTTGTTGTTGCAACTGTTATCATACAGTATAGTTTTCATGTGCAGACAGAATTTCAACTGGAAATCACTACTGAAATATCAAACTTAAGGAAAACTGCAGTAATTAGTTATACTTTAGTTAAAATATTTACTATAATGGTATATTCAAAGCAATTTTAGATACAGTACCTGTCACTGTTTCAGTATCGCCATAACTGTGAAAGGTGTTACTGTCTTTCTCAATAGGAGCTCACTTTTTAATACATCAATACCTGCCAATATTTGAAAACTATCAATAGAGACATTTGAGAAAGAAAAACAGGGAGACACCTTTTAACTCTACTGAAATACATTTCACTAGGAAAACTTTTTAGCAGGACAAAATAGATTGATACTTTTAAAAAAGATAAAGGACAGTTCCTCTTAATTAGAGATGGTTTGCATTCCCAGGAAGAGTCTGACTCTAACAACATAAATTAGGATTGTACTCATTATTTGAGCATACGGAAAACTGGTAAGTTTAAAAGTTGTTGTAAATTAAGTCCTATTAGTAAAAGGACAAGTCAGCCATATTTTTAAAAAATGGAGGTTACCATAAAATGAACAGGTTCCCTATATCACACTCCATCATTGTGTGGTTATACTTACTCCCCCGCTGTCGAGGGGTGGGACTAGATGACTTCTATCATGTCAAGAGGTCAGCGTCCTGTATGAATGGCTATTCCCAAATTTATTTCAATACTATTTATTCTTTTTTACTAGACTTTTCAGATTAATTAGAAACTATTTTACAATGTAGTTTTCCTTTAACAGACATTTTATAAAACTTCCTACTGGTAAGAAGTTGCCGCCGATACCAGCCTGTACACAGCCGGCATTAAAGGGCTACCACGGCAGTGCTTTAACGTCTTTACGCCTTTTGCATGCCCTGGGCTGCCAGGGTGCGGGGGGGGGCAATAGGGGCAGCTGCCCCAGGGCTGGCAATTTAAAAGGGCCCGGGGCTCCCGGCCGCCGTCACTGCTACCACAGCAGCGGCCAGAGCCCGGGCCGATCCCCGGCCCCACCCCTTCCACCTGAGGCCGGGCCCCCGTACCAATACGTACTTAATGTTACTTTCACCCCTGCATCCTACAAATATTTATATTCCTTTTTCAGCATCCACCTAACTGCTATGTCTTCAAAGCCAGAAACATCAGCTTAGCAAAGGACTTTTCAACTAACCAAAAAAGAAAAACTAAGACTTTAGACACAATTTTGTTGACAAGGCAAGGAGACATTTTATTCTCCAAAATCCGGACAAAACTCGGGGCGGGGGGGGGGGGAGGAACAGAGCGGGGGGGTGGGTGCAAAGTCACAGATGCATACGCAGCATTTATAGCCAGCAGCAAAGACAAATTGCTTTCCTGCCAAAATCAAACCTGGAGTCATTGAGGCCTACAAAGTTGGCACCTGAGTGATGCTAAAAACAAACTACTTCATAATACAAATCTTCCTATTTTCTTTCCTCTACCCAGATTATTTCTCCCTCCCTACATTAGATGATTAAATACACTCTTACAGTGAAATGTACATAACAGTACATGACTAAGAGCCCAGTCACTTACTTACTGATGGACATAGTGCTTATCATCATTAAATTAAATTCAGACTATAAATTAGAAGACGTAAACAGCACCTACTTTGAGATGAATAATTTTACAGCATAACTGAAATTAGCCCAGTAAATTCAGTGTTATTTTTGTGCAAGTGAAAATGCTGAAAGTTGATTAACAACTTGTTAAATATTTTAACTGTGACTGGAAAAAGTATGCTGGATCCCCATAGAGTAGCCTTCTTAAATTTCTGTATTAATAGTTATCACTTATTTAGCACTGTACACATTTAAACTGCTTTACAAATATGATCCTCATTTTACAGGTGAGAAAAATGAAGGGAGAGAGATCAGGTGACTTGCTCAAGGCCACAATGGGAGTTGCTGGCTCCAAATACTATGCTTATACCATGCCTCCCTCAAGGAGTAATAGTGTAGGTCTTGAGTTCTTTGCAGGTTAAGAGCATGCCAATGACATTACATATCTTAAATTATTATAAAGTATCTTAAGAAGCTCATAAAAGGAAACAAAGTGTTTACTAGTTTGGTTTGTTAAAGGAAAACAATTGGATGAAGTGTTAGTGAAAACTTACTTGGTCAACAATAGAGAGAGGTCTAGCTTCTTCTAATTTACTATGCAAAATGGGATTTGGATGTACAGCTTCAGGAGACAAATATGGCCTATACCCAGACAGCATGTAAGAAAGACAAATTCCTGAAGGTCCATTCCCTATTAAAAACAAAAGTTAAAACATTTTAACAAACATTTTAAGAAGTCTTATTACCACAGAAGTAGCAAAATGATTATATTGTAGCAATGTCCCAAAATGTGCTATGCATATAGCATACTATCCCTACTCAGAAAAGCTTACAGTCTAAAATCTTCACATTACAATAAATCCTAGCACTAGGGACCTTTTCAAAAACAACCCAGCAGAATGCTTTTTGGGTGGTAGGGGAGAATAGTTGGTTAAAAAGAGAAGAGTAGGAGTACAAACATGATATTTAAGCCAGTCTCAAACTTTTTTTGGGGTGGAGGGAACTCCTGATAAAGCACAAGCTTATGAAAATCTAAAACCAGAAGTATGTCAGCATAGGTCAATGTAGGACTGATTAAAATAAAAAACTCGGTCACTCAAACTATAACACAATATATATCCCATCTGGCAATGGAATTTGATAGACGGTGAATTTTGTCTACTTGCCCTTCTTTCTATGGTTAGCAAAGCCATTTAGGGCTTGGCTACAAACTTGCAAGTTACAACGCAATAAAGGAGCTCCGGGCGCACTAGCTCACTACCCGTCCACACTGGCAAGGCACGTAGAGCGTTCTGACTCCGCAGCTACAGTGCTGCTGGTACTCCACCTCGGTGAGTGGAATAACGTTTGCTGCGCTCTCGCTGGAGTGCCGTGGGGCCAGTGTGAACGAGGTGTTGCTTTACTGCGCTCTGATCAGCCTCCGGAAACGTCCCATAATCTCCGTAAGTCAAGTGGCCACTCTTGTTATTGTTTGGAATTGGCTGTAGGAATGCCCTTTGAAAGCTCCGTTTCTGATAGCTGGCTGCTTATCTGCTCCGAGACAAAGCAACCATTAGTGCGGAATGCTGTGTGTGAGAGAGAGAGGAAGAGGAGCGAGGGGAGGTCTGCTGCTGTCTGAACTTACAAGACAGCATGCTGACATGCTCTCAGCCCCCAAAAACCCACTCTCCCCCCCATACACACAACACACTCCCTGTCACACTCCACCCCACCCCACCCCATTTGAAAAGCACGTTGCAGCCACTTGCATACTGTGATAGCTGCCCATAATGCACCACTCCCAATGCCACTGCAAGTGCCACAAAAGTGGCCACTCCAGTGCGCTTGAAGCTGTCAGTGTGGACAGACTGCAGTACTTTCCCTACTGCGCTCTATGAAGGCTGGTTTAACTCAAAGCGCTCTACATCTTCAAGTGTAGCCATGCCCTTAGTGACAACAAATATGAACTGGTTTGAAAAAGAGTAGAAAAGGAGCTCACCACAAAATGTGACAATATCAAAATAAAGGTCTCAAATGCAAGTTCAATTGCATCACCTTTCAAGCTGATTTATAAGACATTACTGCCCTGCCAATACTATAACTAGTAGAATCAGCAGAACTGATTACAACAGAGTTGTTTGAGAAGTGGTTACAATAGGAGAGAAAATTGCAAAGTGGATGGGATTTAAGTGTCTCTGTAACCAAGTTAAACATCAGAGCCAGTCATCTACTACATGCATCGCCAGTGCCCAGCACTACAGGACCTTGATTTGATTGTCATCTAAACATTACTGTAGCATAATATACATATACACATAGAAATATGTTAGAAGAATGTTACTAAGTTTGCAAAGTCAACCCTCAAAAGTTATGAGAAGCCAGAATTACAGTTGCCTATGCAACCTTAATTTGGTCCCCCATGCATTTGATATATTCTCTAATTACATGATTACATATTATTTTTTCCACAGCATCCCTGCCTCATCTAGTATACAGGATGGATGGTGCTCATTTAATGAGCAACTATTCAATATTTTGTTTTATCCTCATTGTTCAATATTGGCCTTATTTACTGCACATTATTCATACTTTACTCTGAAGACAGAATTATTAGTTTCCTCATGGGCATTTATATGACACTCATTATAATATTCAAGTGCTTCACATTTAGATCCACTGCACAGACCTCTGCCACTTAAACTAATGGAGTAACTGACAGCAATAGAAGATCAGTAGTACAGGCCTATAAATAATAATAATAAACCTAGTTACAGAGACACACTGAGGTTTCAGCTACACTACAAGAATGTTCCCATGACTGGGTCAAAGATTTAACCAATTACAGGGAAAACGAAGTCCTGTGCACAACATAACACAACTGGGCCCCCTGACTTTATTAACATTGTTATATAGATGGGCCTCGGATGATTTTCTGACCAAATGTTTTTTTAAAAATACGTTTTTAGATGGTAAGCTCTTCAGGGCAGGAATCACATTTTTGTACAGTGCCTTTCAAAATGGGGCCCTGATCCTCACTGGGGCATCTAGATATTACTGTTGTATAAATAAATAACATACATTTTAATTTTAAACTTCAACCACCCCTTTGTCTAGTTATATAAATATTGGCTGATTGCATAATGGCAGAAGTGGGTCTTGGTCAACAGCAATCTATGACAAAAGAACCCTCATTATAATAAATTAAGACACTGTCGTGCAAATAGCCAGCTTTGTGAACCAATGAATGTAAAAACTGTTTATTGCAAAAATTGTTTTTTGAATCAGAATTTAAGGGAACTTGTGTTTACAGGAGAATGAACTGCATTCTGGGCAAAACAGACTGAGTTCAAAAGCTAAGGTGTTTGTTTAGCACAGAAAGTATCTGAGATTTGGGGGGAGGACAGGACTATCTTGAACTTTGGCATTTGCAGAAACTTGTTCAAATAAATCAAATTCAAAAGTGTTCCTGATCCCCAAGAGATTGGGAGGGAACAGAATAGGATAGAGTATAGACATTGGCTTCTCTCAGAGTGGCGAACCATCTCTATTGCCAATCTGAAGGAAGAGAAATATTGCCTCACTTATATTTATATTGGCTTTTAGAGGTGTGTATGTTAAATTCAATTATCAAAAAGGTAAACCTACCCCCACCTGTTCTGATTAATTCTATTTCGTATTTGTCTTAGACTTTGTCCATCGCTCAGCAGTAGTAATCTTTGATGTTACTTTTAATGAAAGTAGGTGCAAAGTTTTCAAATTGATGGTGTCCCTTTACCGATATTTTAGAAACATTTATTGAAAGATTTTTCTCCAGTAAAACACTTTTTACAACAAGAGGGATTTTGGTAAATGAAGCTTTGTTTCATCTTCTGAGTTTTCCCCTTTTTCTTTACCTTTCTTCTACTTAATAAATGGCAAATAGAAAAACCAATTCCTGGATACAAAACTGTGAACACAAAGCACTGCTAATACTGTGGCAGCAAAGAATAAAAAATTAGTAACTTAAAAGTAAGTTACCCTAAAATATCTCTCCAAGTCCCAACAGCACAATTTATCTGAACAAGGACTATCTGCATGAATAAAGATTTGCAGGATCAAGTCCTAAATTACACATAAGATAGGGAAAGATGACAGACAAAGGTCAGGGTAGATTAAAGAAAAGAGTACTTGTGGCACCTTAGAGACTAACCAATTTATTTGAGCATAAGCTTTCGTGAGCTACAGAAGTGAACTGTAGCTCACGAAAGCTTATGCTCAAATAAATTGGTTAGTCTCTAAGGTGCCACAAGTACTCCTTTTCTTTTTGTGAATACAGACTAACACGGCTGCTACTCTGAAACCTATCATTATGCAAGGGTAGGTTAAGGAAAGGACAATATAAGGTCAAGATAATTGCATAACGAACACATCATGTTAGTCGTTTTATTACTAAATTTATGCACTGGGAAGACACTAAGCCTATGTCAGCACAAAAACTCTGCAAGTGTAATTAGTTTCACCAGTGATAGGGAACCAGTAAAAGAAAGGTTTCAGAGTGAACTGTAGCTCACGAAAGCTTATGCTCAAATAAATTGGTTAGTCTCTAAGGTGCCACAAGTACTCCTTTTCTTTCAGGAAAAGAAAGGCACTGGTTTGTGTTCTCACTTACTTCCACAGGCATCAGATTGCGTTAACATCTGCAGCACTTCCATCAGGGATGAGAGCAGCGTACCGAGGGCAGCTGTCCCACAGTCCAGCTCTCTCCATTTTGAGGATATGTCTTGAGGGAAGGGGGGCGTGACTGCGAGGCATCCTGAGTCCCTGCACAGCCTCTTCTCCCCAAATACTGATCAGCTGCATTAGCTCAGCATTGCTCCAAGCAGGGGATCATTTGCCCCCTGGAACAGCCATTGTCACCTGGCCAGATAAGTGAGCACTTGCCAAGAAAACAGGAAGTGGAGTTTCAAAGTTCCCAGGGCTTTACAGGGGAGGGGTGGATGTCTGTTTACCTGGCATCAGAGCAGCAGAGCCGCTGGCCAGAGTGGTCACCTAGGCACTGTGGAATATCCTCCGGAGGCTAAAAGCTTTGTAAACAGGAAGAACATGTCTTCATTGCACATTACTGCAAAAGTATCACCAGTAAGAACTGTACGCCTCTCGTGGAGGTGGTTTTGGTTTGCGGTGAAACTTCTGAGTATCACCGCAAAAAGTCATTGGCAAGTGTAGACACTCCCATGGTTTTTGCGCAAAAAAGGGACTTTTTTCACTTTAAATGGCAAGTGTAGACATGTCCTAACATTGGGAAGCTAATAGAAAGATGGGCAATGAATGAGGGATGGGAAGGAAAACAGGGAGATTACATGGCATACATGATGAGGGACATCATTTCAGTCACAAGAGGCAGCATGGGAGAAAGCATAAAGGCACTTGGAGAAAGATCAAGATGAAATGCAGTGAACAAACTTGCCATTCTTTTATTCTGTCTTACCAAAGTATTATTTATTTATTTATTTTAAGAAATCTTACTTGCAACAGGTGCATATTAGAGATAATAGGCTGTCCACTGAGGGGATCAAGTTATAAGATTTCCAGTTCTAAAATATATGATTAAAAGAAGTGTTCGGACATATTTGGGATAAAAACGTTTATTTTTCACTAGAAGAAGTCATGGATGCTGCATCTGATGTGGGCAAGTAGAGGAGTTCTGAAGGCAGCAGCAGTACTTAGCACAGATACTTTCAAAATACACAATTATTGAAAACCAGTGCAAGTTTTGAATCGGGAACCATATGGCAGTCCTGGACCATGACTGGCAGAATGCTAGGACACTATCTCTTCCTGTAAGGCATGAAACTCACCACAGCAACAGATGCCTCTGTCATCTCCAGGTTAACATATTATTATGGGCACTATGTTTGCCTAATAATGATGCATCAGATGAGATAGAGTTCAGCACCTTGCTTTGACAATTCAGCAGGTGGGGAGGATCCCAGAACCCAAGCTACAGCCCGAGCTCGGACATCTACACTGCAACTGTACAACCCCATAGCCCGAGTCAGCTGACACAGGCCAGCCACAGGTGTTTTATTGCAGTGTGGTCATATCCACAGGATCCACTCCTGAAGAATTTATTTCCTCTGGCAGTTTGTCATTCGGCAATCTTTATAGTACAACCCTTTAATAAACTGTAGACTTGATAAAACAGTTTAACAACTTTAACTGATTATCTTGGTGAAGAATCAGTTTTATGGTGTGATGATTTTAATTGATACGGCACCCCAGACACTACAGTGATTGCTGTTTCATAAAAACATATGAATAAATACAGTTCAGAATATTTTAAATCACTGAATTTTTTTTAATCCAAACACACATTGAATTTTTAAAATTTAAACTAGATACAAAAAACTAAGCAGTATATGTTTTCTGCCAAAGTTTTGAAGAAAGTCAAACCAACAGGTTGAAGTTACTGGCTAAGCACATGGAACCACAGTCTGCTGAAGTGCTAAAACAGCTTTTGATAGCTGTAGACTCTTCTGCAGGTGCAGAGAGAATATTTTCTTCATTTCATTTCTTTCAGCTAGTTGAGTTCTATGATAGTTCAAAGCTAAAAACCAACAGATGTTGACAAAGCAGGAAAGCTGGTTTTCTCTTCCAATCTAGTAATAAAAAACTAGGTGTGAGAGGATGAGTTCTACTAGTTCTGAAGTATCAAAGGACATGATGACAAGAAACAGTCAGCTGAATTCACTAACTGCAGATATTACTTCCCTGGTTTAATAAATCAGTTAGTTTTAAATGCAAAACATGTTTTGATAAGCTTTTTGATAGCTTTTTTCTTATGTATACAGCACGTGTAAAGTAGTTATTTTAACTAACTTAAAATGTTGTTTTGGCATTTTTAATTGAATTCAAATTTCCACCCTACAGTGTGACATAAATCACAAGTAAAAAAAATTAATCAGCTAGTAATAAGAAATGCATTATTCACCATTTTCTAATATAATAAAAAATGTAAAAATGAGGAATCTGAATAAATGTAAGTTAAGCTATATAATTATTTAAATGTCTATAGAGGTCTATAGATATAGTATATCTTCCTTGCAAAAAGAAAAATCACATTTAGTGTAGCGGCAATTTTTAGTTGCAAAACCATGTTTTATGGTTATTAACCAATCAAAATCAAAATCAAAATCCTATTTGTTTAGGAAAATAAGTAAAAAGTAAAATGCAAAAGATAATTAAACATCAATTTTAATTGATTCCTGCTTGCTGATTTAAATGATGATTACAGTGAGTTAAATAATCGATTTTGATTTAAATTAATCCACCCTGAGACATTGCAAGTCTAACTGTACTGTACACAAATTGCCTAACTGTAATGTTTGCATCTTCCAGTCTAATCCTTTCAAACAAAGCCTTCCCCATGTCCGGTCCTAATGACATAAGCAGGACTTCATGCAGACATAAGTGTGTGCTCAAGTATATCAGATTGCAGAATTGGGGCCTAAATCTCTACTTGCACTCAAATCTGATATCTGCCAACAAATTCATCATCCACTCCCAAACACTGCTGTCTCAACATCTTCCAGTAAAATAAGCATTATCAGTTCAAATACATTTCAATGATAACCAGTCATTTGACTTAAGACAACTTGATGGTAATACAGTAAACTGTACTAATTGTATCCATATAATAAACGCCTTCACCTTGGAGATGGGTTATTATTTGGCAACACCAAGTTATTTAATTATAAATGGATTTGCATTCCTGGTTCTTAAAAAGTAATGGTAGTGCCAGAGAACACAAAATAATCTCTGGAAATAACTCACCTATTATCACTATTGGCACAGTCAGGAGCGGGTCCCCAGTCAGAGTGGTTTCTTCTAGCAAGGGCATTCTTTTATCTTTCCTCCCAAGGCTGTCACCAAAATGCTGCACTAAGGAGCTCAACAGTTGTCCCTCGCTTTCAGGGCCACTGTAATTTCTATTGGAGAAAAAACATCAGTTGAGCATTATATCACATTCTTCAAAAATTAAGTCGCGATTGGATCATTGCCTTAAAACTGTCAAATTGATAAAAAAAACTCTGATTGCATTACGCAAAAGTAAAACAAACACTAATCAGTTCATATACAGAATTTTATTCTTCAGTATAGCTTTTCCCACACTGAATATTGCTTCTTTGCTACAATAATGGGCAAAAAAAACATTTCCTCCAAAAAAGCCCACAAAAGGATACAGGCAGCAAAAGAAAAGGACCTGCAGAATATAATCTAATGTGTGTCTCATTCAAATTCAGTGTCTGATAATAAATCTAGTGATTTAAACTATTGCTTTCCCCACACCCTTTTAATACCTCAATTGTAATAAATATTTGCTTCTTGGCAATGACTGCCTACTAGGCTTTCAGCAATGCCAAAGCTTAGGGTCAGACATTTATCATCTATAAACATGATACCCGTTCCCAATCAGGTGGGTACTCCCAGATATTTTAAGTGAATAAAGTTGCTGACTAATTAAACCATATCCATTGTCTCCTGTCTTTCTTCCGGCATGGCTGAACAATGCTAGTAAATGCCTCTCCACCTATTTTCCCCAGAAACCTAGAGTAAAGAGCTTCACTGTCTTACTGAGTCTACTATAATTGACAATTACTGTTATAGTATCACTAGCCTACCGTGATGATTGTTATTTGCTTCCTTAAAAAAAAAATGCTTTTTTGCATTTCATTCAGCTTGGAACATAAAAATAGATTAGTTTCATCCCACTCCTCCTCCAAGGGCATATTTGTTCTCAAATGAACTTGCATAGTGCTGCAAAGTTTGATTTCCAAGCACTGTTGCAGACTCAGTTTAAAAAATAACTTTACATTGGAATATTTAAAAGGAAAACCATGAGAATATTTTTACTTATTTTAAATGATGCAAAAACTTGTTTTTACGCATCTAAATTGTGGGCCTAAATCAACCAGCAGTGTCTCTTTAAATCTAACTATCCTTTGTCTCCCCTATTATGTTTTTGGCATCCATAATGTTAGAAGTAATAAGGTGTTACCAAGATGTGTTTGTGCGCATGTGAAGTGCATAACATATTCCTTAGTTAGGCAGCAGTATCTTGTATACAGATACTCTTCTCTAAGATTCAAATATACTGCACTGTACCATTTGGGTTGAAGTTCTAAGTTCCCAGCCAAAACAGAAGGACTACGGTGTCTTTGATGATGTGGATTCTTCATTAGTAGGATGCAACACCATATATTCACTGTGTTTATCCCATGATAGAAACTATTTGAGATGTGTTTTTTCTTGGTCATTTATCAGCCAGGTAACACAGAACAGTACATTAAAATTAAACTAAAAGCACTGTTCTTTAAATATTTAACTGAATCCAACTTTTAATTTATATCCTACAGAAAAAATCTTTGTTAACTTTGACTTAAGACTGTAGGAGTGCACCAGAACAAACCAGGAAAAGAAAAAGAAAGCAGCTAAACAACTTATTACCTATACTCCACTCATCAGTCCCCCTGCTCAGCTAACTGCAGCCAACCACACTCCATACATCTCCATCCACATCTCGAGCAACCAACATGTAGCCCTAATGCCAACCATACACATAATAAACCTACACACACACATAATATGCAGAAACTCTAATTCCGACCTAACAAATAAAACCAAATTCAAAGCATTCCTGCTGACCTTCTCTCTGCAAAATTTCATTCAACCCCTTAGAATCCCCAAAGCCTTTCTTGCTATGCCTGTCTCCTCACATCCCCACTCACACCCAGCTTCCTCTCTCTCCCTTTCAGCCCTACCTCGGATATCAGAAGTAGCTGATGGATATGATCAGTCAACTCCAAAGGCTCAAAAGCCTGATTAAAAGAAATTAATGATGTGATTAATTATAAAATTTCAAAAGTGATCTGTGTCTGGTCTGTAGTGTTATTTGAACATAAAAGACACATTTGGAGTTTGTAGGGACTATGAATGTTTAGCTAGAGGTACCAAAAGAAATGAGAAGAAAACATGATAAATTCAAAAGTGGACCAATTAAAAGTGTATCCTCTACTTAAGTTAGTATATTTGACTAAAATATTACATAGAAAATTACTTTGTTCTCTGAAGAGTTATCGTGTCAGGTCTGGAGACTAAGTTTAACCATTACAATGCGAAACAGCAAATTTAGTTCTGCTTTAAGTGCAAATCTCAATGAGATCTTAACTACGGAGTAACTAATGGCATCTCCTTTCTAATCTTAGGCAAAATATGAACGCAAATCCCAAAGCAATTTTTCTGTAACAAGGTTTACATATATCATTGTGGCCTTGGTAGACAACTTCGGGGTGAGGGGGATTTGCTAACATGACTATGGCTCTTATCCTGCATAACTACAAGTGGGCACAATGGTTTGTCAGTTACAGAGTCAGGGCCAAATAATGTTATCATGTTCATAACAAAGGCAACTAGTAGTATGTTTTTTTCAGATAATCAAATTTAAAATTAGTTTCCTTATTTATTGAAAGCTAATACTTTTAGGGTTTTTTTTTTATTTTTTAGTTATTAATGCAGAAAAGTAGTCAAGGAAAAAGTTAGATTATATATAAATAATATAAAATATAAATCAAGATTTTTTTTCCAGACCAAATAATATCAAATTCTTCTGTAACATCTATCATTTAACTGGACACGGCATGGTTTTGTCAGAAGGATGCCTTACACATCGCTATAAATTTTAAAATAGTGAAAACTTAATTTAAGCCACCCCTTTCTTCAATAGATGATTTCCAGTTTTAAATGATTCCTATTCCAGTACAATTTTTAGAAAAATACTTCTGCTAAGCCCAACCTTGGGTGGGAGATAAAATACAGGTTTTATTCTCCACTTAAATATAGGCTCAAATTTAAATTTTGTAAAAACAAGCTTTTAAAAACTTTAGCACCAATAAAAATGTTTTTAAACAAACATCCACTGAAAATAGTTATTAAAAAAAATCCCATCCAGTGTTTGAAACCCAGACACTGCAGTACTAAAAACCCAGAAATAAAAGGGAGAATCAACAAATGTGAAAACTACTTCACTGATTTTCACTGTCCAAGTTGAAATAGAAGTATACAAACAGCATAAGTAGTGACTAGTATAATTTTTTTCCACCTTTCCATTCTTTTACTTTTAATCTAAAGTGCTAAAGTAATAAGTTAACAAATGTTTATTTATAGCAGGATTTCTAAATGTCTCAGTCTATTCAAAATTTAAAGATTACAAGCATACCGTACATTAATTTTTCCAACACCCACAGTAATTATTATAATACCTACTTTACAGTTGAGTAAATGCACCAAAACCTTGAGCACACTGAGCCAAAGGCACTACTGCCTTGTCTAAATCGAGCTTTTTCTTACAATCTCTCACCGTCTAGACATGCTCTTGAACAAGGTTAAATGACAGGGCTGTATAAACATCAGCAGTCAGTCTACACTAATGCGCTCACCACTGCTAGCACCAGTGAAGTTACAATGGAGAGAAGCTTGAGAATAAAGTTCAGTGCAAACAGAGCTAGTGAGTTTAAGTGATTTGTCCAATCACACAATTTCTGTGGCACATTCAGGAACAGAAACTAGATCTCCTGACTCCCAGTCCTATGCTTTAACTACTAGATATATTTTTCCATATATACAAGACAAAATAGGAGTGGGGGTGGACATACAAATAATAGCTCCCTAAAAAAACCAAAAACATTTTATGGTTAAAAAATTACAGAGAGATCCAAATATTCAGCAAAATACTCTGAATTTGCATCCTTAAAAATAGCATGCAATTATTTTCTGCACACAATCTTAGCCATCCCCATTTTTGTGCACATATAAGCATGTGTGATTCCACAACCAGAAGAGCCAGAGGATGGAGTCAGTACTAACATAGGCTGGCTACTGGACAGATGGCCTTCTACCCCCATTAATACACACCTGTCTCTGCCCCACCCCGAACCACACCCAGACACAGCCATGGTTCCCAAATCCTATCTCCCCAACATTCTTCCATTGCCCCCTATTCGGCTCATACTCCATCCCTGTTCCTTCACCTCCCTGCCCCTACCCACATCACAGCCATTCCTGTCACAACCCCATCTCCCTGTCCCCTACCTGCGAGACGGTCATTCCCTTCGCAACCTCACCTTCCCCCCCGCCAGACTACCCCCATCAGAGCCATCATTCTCTTCATGACCCCACCATCCTGCCCCCCCACCACTACTCTCATCACAGCCCATCCTGACCCCAACGTCCCACCCCTCCATCACCATCACAGCTGTTCCCCTGGTGACCCCCCCCCCACCCACATCCCTACCCCCACCACGGCCATTCCCTTCGCAACCCCCCCCCCCCCGCCCTTGCCCCCCTACCCACATCACGGCCATTTCCCCGGGGATCCCACTTCCCCACCCCCCATCACGGCCACTGCCCTCGCGACCTCAACATCTCTCCCCGCGTGTCCCCCTCACGCTCCCCATCACCGCGCCCCCGCCATCCCGCCGGCCTCTCTCTCACCCAGCAGCGGGGCTCAGCGGGCGGCTTCCGCGCGGGAGCGGGCGGACGGGCGCCCTGCCCCACAGACCGGCGCCCCCCTCACCCCACCCCACGGTGGGGATTCACCTGAAGTGGCGGGCCAGGGAGCAGCGGCAGCACCACACCGGCATGAGCGGGCGGGCGCGGGGAGCCGGCTGGCGGCTGAGCCGAGCGGCGGCGGGTCCGGGCTGCGCGGCGCTGCTTCGCCTCCTCCCGCTGCCGCCGCCGCACTGGGGCCCGGCTGGCTCGGTGCCTCCTCCCCACCCGGCGGCCTCAGGTCACGCGGGGGAGGAGCCGGAACCCGCGGGGGAAGGGGGCACGCTTCGGCGGGGGCGGGGACTGCCGCCGTCTCCGCTAGGGACACGCTGCGGAGCGGGAGCAGGTCCGGGCCGCCGGGCGGGGAGACAGAGCCTGATCCCGGGCCGCAGCGGCGGAGCGGGGTCAGGATGGGAGAAGTGATGGAGACCCGGAACATGGGGATTGAGCATCCCGGCCTGTGCGTGTGAACGGCCCCGGCCCCACAGCCCCGGGCGAGCTCGTCCTTACGACCCGTCACAGCCCCAGCCCTTCTCCCACCTTGGCTCCAGACAGCAACACGCCCCAGGCCCTCTCCCTGCCAACCCCCTTGGGAGCAACTCCCCCGTAGCCCCTTCTTTTTCACCCCGCCCCCAAACAGCAACACCTCCATAGCCCCCTCTTCTGCCCCACCCCCAAATAGCAACACCCCCGTGGCCCCTTCTTCCGCCCCGCAGCCAAACAGCAACACCTCCATAGCCCCTTCTTCCGCCCCGCCCCCAAACAGCAACACCCCCACAGCCCCTTATTACACCCTACCCCAAAACAGCAACAACCCCATAGCCCCTTCTTCTGCCCCACCCCCAAATAGCAACACCCCTGTAGCCCCTCCTTCTGCCCCACCCCCAAATAGCAACACCCCCGTGGCCCCTTCTTCCGTCCCACCCCCAAATAGCAACACCTCCATAGCCCCTTCTTCCACCCCGCTCCCAAACAGCAACACCCCCACAGCCCCTTATTACACCCTACCCCAAAACAGCAACAACCCCATAGCCCCTTCTTCTGCCCCACCCCCAAATAGCAACACCCCTGTAGCCCCTTCTCCCGCCCTGACCCCAAACAGCAACACCCCATAGCCCCTTCTCCCGCCCTGACCCCAAACAGCAACACCCCATAGCCCCTTCTCCCGCCCTGACCCCAAACAGCAACACCCCCATAGCCCCTTCTCCCGCCCTGCCCCCAAACAGTAACATCCACATAGCCCCTTCTCCCGCCCTGCCCCCAAACACAACACCCCCATAGCACCTTCCTTCTTCCGCCCTGCCCCCAAACAGCAACACCCCTCTCATCCCCCACAGAGCAACTCCTGCCCCTAGAAAACAACCCCTCTGTGACCCCTCAGAGACAGCAGCACCCCCTAACTCTTATCCCACCCTCCCCTAGACAGCACCTCCATTGCCTTTTTCCCATAGACGGTAACACCATTAACAGCCCTGTCCCCCCCAAAAATAGACAATTCCCCCATTGCTCCCCGCACCACACAGGTTGTAACACCCCCATATCCTGTCACCAGCAGGAATACCCTTCTTCACACAGCCCACAGATAGTAACTTTGTTAGGACCTTGGCATCCAAAGATAGGAGCATCGCAATGACTGTACCTCATCAGGCCAGGAACCCAGGTAGTCCAGCATTCTGCTTCCACCAGCGCCTGCATCAGTTACTTGAGAGAAGGATGCAAGACACTGCATAATGGACAGTTATGAAATAACCCACCTATGGGAGAAGTTTCTTCCTACAACCAAACGCTTATGTCCTGAAACACCAATGTTGATATAAAAACATTGAAATTACAGTGTTTAATGTGTGACCCACCAGATTTCTGTGAGCTGTGATGGGGCTGCAGAAAGTCTGTATTCCTGGCCTGTGCATGGCTGACCAATTCTTTGGGCCCTGCTTAGGGTTGCCAGTTATGGTTGGATGTATTTCAGGAGGTTTCATCCCATGACATAATCTTTAATTCCTGGAGACTCCAGGACAATCCTGGAGGGTTGGCAACCATGGTCCTGTTGGACTGTCTTGAGTGGAACCCACACTTTTAACTACTGGATTTTGTCCCATTTCATTTGGAACCATTTCTGAACCAAAATGTTTTGCACAGGGTTAACCTATGTAACCATGTGATCTTATTAGTCCTCTGGTTCTCTCTATTATTAGTAGCATGGTAGAGTTCAGGATCCTTAGCAGGGTATGTGTGCACTGCAGCTGGGAATGTGCATCATAGCCTGGGTGGACAGGTTCACTCTTACTCTGCTTGAGCTGCCCTGCTAACAATAGCAGTGTGGAGACTGCAGCCTGAGCTAGCCACCAACTCTGAGCCCACCAACTCTGGGTCATAGTTCAGGTGGCTAGCCTGAGCCACAAGGTCCATGCTGGTATTTTTTAGCGTGCTAACTTGAGCAGAGCTAGCACAACCTGCTCTACCTGAGCTGGGAGGCTGTCAAGGCTGAATCCCCACTCTGTCACTTTGAGTGCAGAAGGTGGGGGCCCGCAAGGATTTTAAAAATTAATGCTGGTCACTCCAGGCTTGTATTAGACTCCCAACATTACAGCTTTTCTCTGACCTTGGCTTGGTAAATGCTGCCACCACCCAAATGCAAAAAACCCCATTGGACCCAGGAAGGAGCACTTGGGAATTCCTCCCTGTGGAGTACCCTCAAGCCCTTTCACACACACACACAACCCACCCCGGGAAAGAGCTGAGAAAGAAAACAAAGGAAATTAGCTGTTGCTACCAGCTAATCAAACAACATGCACAAATCTCTTAGGACACCAAAAATCCAATCCTGTTAGAATATAAGAATGGCCGTACTGGGTCAGACCAAAGGTCCATCCAGCCCAGTATCCTGTCTACTGACAGTGGCCAATGCCAGGTGCCCCAGAGGGAGTGAACCTAACAGGTAATGATCAAGTGATCTCTCTCCTGCCATCCATCTCCACCCTCTGACAAACAGAGGCTGGGGACACCATTCCTTACCCATCCTGGCTAATAGCCATTAATGGACTTAACCTCCATGAATTTATCCAGTTCTCTTTTAAACCCTGTTATAGTCCTAGCCTTCACAACCTCCTCAGGCAAGGAGTTCCACAGGTTGACTGTATGCTGCGTGAAGAAGAACTTCCTTTTATTTGTTTTAAACCTGCTGCCCATCATTTCATTTGGTGGCCTCTAGTTCTTATATTATGGGAACAAGTAAACAGCTTTTCCTTATTCACTTTCTCCACTCATGATTTTATATACCTCTCTCATATCCCCCCTGAATCTCTTCTTTTCCAAGCTGAAAAGTCCTAGCCTCTTTAGTCTCTCCTCATATGGGACCCGTTCCAAACCCCTAATCATTTTAGTTGCCCTTTTCTAATGCCAATATATGTTCTTAAAAAAAGGTAAAATGTTATTAAAAACAAAAATTTATTAAAAACTAAAAGGAAGAAAATACATCTGTAACTTAGACTTTTGCTAGATTTTAAAAGAGAAATTCCAAAAATTAAGCACCCAAAATAGCTTTCTTGGGGGTTAGCTTAAAGGTAACAAACAAACAAAAGCATCTGGTGTTAGCACAGAGGGGTCCACAAGCCATAACAAATAAACAGAAATAAACCTAATCGTGTCTTCCTAAACATTCCTAATGTACTTACATACTTACACTGGGTTGTTAAAAGTAGTTCTAGATATGATCTGATGGTTTTCATATCTGGTTCAAACTTTACCCAGCATTCCTGCTGCCCATCTCTTCAGCCCAGAGAGAACAACAGAGAAAGGGAAAGTTTCTTTCCCAATTTTAAAAAGTTCCAGCCTTCCCACTGAGTCTTTTGGTCAGGTGCCCACTTTTTTTTTCTTTACCTGGGGGACATTTTAACCCTTTATAGGTAAAGCAAGAAGAGAACAGCTACTAAGAGGGATTTTACAGCTAACTGGCTGGCTGGGTGTCCATCAAAGGGAGCTACCCCCCCACCCCCCCACACATACTTCATTTATCACAAAGGCACATTCCCAGTTTCAGAATAGACATAGCCTCAGTGCCCCATTGTGGTACATGCTGTCCAAACACACAAGAAAAAAAGAGTATTTGTCCAAAGAGTTTACTATCCAAGTTTAAGATAGATACAACAGATGGAGGAATCACTTTTCCGTTCATTTGTTTCTCACACACTACAGAACCTAGCACAATGGGGTTCTGATGTATATAGGGATTTATGGGTGCTACTGCTATAGAAATGAATAGTAACAATCAGACCATTCATGCATCTAATCCAGCATTGTGTCTCTGAAAGTGGCACTATCCTGTGCACTCCGGGCTGGATTTAGCGGCCACCTCCTGGTGAGGGATTGAAGTTGGGGACGGAGAGCCCAAACCTGAGCTGCCTCCCAATGAGGGATTTGAGGGAAGGGGAGCCCAAGTCAGAGCCTGGGCAGCCTCTCGGTGAGGGATTGAGGTATGGGGGAAGGAGAGCCTAGGCAGTGGGGCTCCAGCTGTCAGTCCCGGCATTGGAGCTCTGGCTGTCGGTGTCCCCACAGTGTCCCACACTGTCAGTTAAATCAGTGCAAGCACTCCACTGTGGACATTAAAGATTGAATTAATTACTGGGGTGGCTGTATATCAACTTAAATTATGTTGACCTAATTTTGTAGTGTAGACATGTCCTAATAGAGTCTGCCCGGAAATGAGCACCAGGTGGGTGGATGGTTTGACTGGGTGTTGTTACCAGATAGGGGTGAAGGTGAGAAAGAACACAGAGAAAAATGAAAGTGACAGAGGGTATGTTTACACTTCAAAAGACACTCACAGCAGGAGTCTCAGAGCCCATTAATTGCCAGAGTTAATACACAGCAAGAAAATGTAGTCCATAACAGAATTATGTAGCTGATAGCAAGTGTTGATGTTATTTAAAATTGGGAAATCAGGAACCAAGAGAGAAATGGCTTCTAATGGAACCAAGAGAGAAATGGCCTGAGTAAATGTGTTTTAATAATTTTGCTATGTTAAATGCAGAAAATGAAGAAAGGAATCCAGTTGTTTATATATTATAAAAGTGAAGTCCTGCCTGGGACCATCTCCACTCAATACTAACTGCCAGGCAGGGAAATAGGGTGAGAAGTAGCTGTGAATATACTTGGGAATTGGATTATGAAGTGCTTTCTAAAATAATATAAAGACCTTGAATAATATTCTTTGGCATACTAGTAAAGATAAGGTGGATCTGACTGATATCCTTTCTCCTGTTCTAAGTAGCAAGTGAGCAGTCACCAGATCAATTTCAAGAGAAGTTCAGTTAGGAGTCTGTACTACTTTGGATGACTGTGACAAGGTAATCATCTGAAAGAAACGAGTGAGGTTCCCAAATGCAGCAGAATTTTCACCGTCAATGGACCTCCACATTGAGGAAAAAGTCAAAGATCACAATCACAATCCACATCATTCCCACAAGTAGTGGTTGTATCACCCAAATAATGTGTGTGGCAAACACCAACAAGCTCTCAAAACACTTCTCCCTAC